AAATCAAATGCTGTGCAATTATTCACGAGCATTCCTACACAACAATATCGAGGAGGGTAGGTTAATTGTATTGTGGATCTGTATCGCTGAAAGGTTACAACTCGTTGGTTACATATTCACCACATCTCCTCTATTGCCGTAGCTCGCTGGGGCCCTAAAGTGCGGCTGTATCGTAAATGAGGGGCTTGAGATGTGGCAGGGAAGTTCCGCTGGGGATGCAAGGACGGGGGGAGGGGGTTGAAGATGTGATAAAATTCCCCCACAGACACTCAAGTTTCTGCCGCGCCATGAAAACTCATAAAATATAAAACGGCTGCGTGGATGTGTGGAAAATTACATTTATGAGGAGCTTTACAGTTGTACAGGAAGGAGCAACATGGAAACTGCGCTCGCGAGCTTTCTCCACTCCCTCAATTTTAATCTACATAGGCCTTCAACCTATCAACCAAGTTTGATCTGCGACTGGAGAAAAGTTTCAGCTCGCAAAAATCGATCGATTGGGCCGCTTCTGGAGGAGGCTTTCTATCTCCAATGTTTAGGAATGAAAGCCTCCTGGTAATTGGATTTTGTGTAAAATAAGGGAAAAGACCGTGTCGAATGAAAGTGGTGTAAAATGGGGGGACATTAGCAGAGGAGAGCTTTTCCCAAGCGAAGAATGTTGGCAAAATGCTGAGGCACATTCCACTCCAATAATTTCAATACACCGCCAGTAAACAGAAACAGTTCACATGTGAAATTATGACGATAATAGTGGCGATGCAATGAAGACAAGCGTCCATGGTCTCTCTGGTGATTCATCGCGGTGACCATCGTGCAGCGCCAGAATGCCTCCCTGAACTGTCCGAGCCGCATCGATCCTCGGTGGCAAGTTTTGGCAGTTAGCATTCATATATTTCCCGGTTAAGCGGAGGGCAACAGAGAGACTGTGGGTGAAATCGTGAAATCGGAAATGAATATCCGAATCACAGTGAATGGAGCCACCCTTTCTGCGCCATCCCCCATCGTAGGGGCACAATTTATAAAGCTTATTGAGCTTCCTTCGCACACAGTTGAGTGAATGTTGTCATGGGAATCACCTCAACTTTTCCACATTTATCTCCACATCCAAGTGGCGAAGAGAATTCTCCTCCATAGAGGACACAAACTGCCGCCCAATCCCATACATTTCAATTCATATATATAGATTTTCCCCAAACTTTTCCTATCGGTATAATTTCAATTGAAAATATCCCCAAACGAGAGATATTTCATAAAAATTATTCCACATTACCATGTCATTTTCCATGGTTTTTGCTGTAAAGCTCGTCTTTTAACGTGTCACAATGGGCGGAGCTTGCCAGTGGGAGGAGTTTCGTGTGATTGGGCATTTGTCCGTTGAATTGAAATCCGCTAGAGCGCCACCAACTATGCTGTGAGATGAATAAATTTTGCTTTAGTCTTACATCGCAGTTTCTGAAAACTTGTGTAAAGTTTGATATAAAACGAGAAGGAATTTGGAAAGTGGGAACTTTAAACTATTTTATTGGCACTCCCAGATTCTTCACAAGTCACTGTGCGAACTCTCATCCAATCTCTGGGAATTCGGAGTGTGTGAATTGTGTGAATGAAAGTCCTTTTGGACTTTTTTTTTCACTCACCGTCCTTCTCTCGGCTCAATATTGTAAAATGTTTGCTTTACAAACACTTCCTTCTCTATCTTGCCATACCTCATCGTAAAATCATGCCATCACTTCAATATTTTATTCACTCAAACATCCACCGCACAAGTTGTACGGGAAGTGAGGCAAGAGAGACATGTGATGGTGATGGGGAGTAAAGTAACTTTCTGAGATCTCAATGGTGCTTTCGTTATTGCAGAAAGTCCTCTGGGCGATTCTTCCTGGAATTTGCTCATGGGTATAACGATGGCGGGAAATAGTCATATCGTCGGCAGTCAATAGAGGAGTCGCATCAAAATTTCCATTCTCCTCCCTCTCTCTCTCGAGGGAGAGTGAGAAGAGCACATGGTGGATGTTTCCTGAACATCCACATGACGAGCGGGGGCGGACGGGAAAATCGATCAGTCTCACGAGGGGGAGAAGGACAGAGGACTATGTGCATGAATATAGAGAGAAAATTGGGAAAATCAGTGAGCAGCATATGCTCCTAATAGTTTTCTTGCCATCATTTCTGCCAGACGCACCATATGGCCACTTCCCTGGTCTACTGAACTCTCCGCCACTTGAGTCACCCCCGGAGATCACTCACGGGTCGCCCGCCCCCGCAACAGCCACTGGACACGGCCCCTGTGGTCACTGTTTGCCCAGAATTAACAACCTTAGCAGTGTTGGGGCCAATAAAAATTGTCCAGCTCAACTTTCTCCCAAGAACTTTTCCTCGAACTCCCCGGCAGACCATCAGACTTTTCTCTCCACTCTGTTAATATTGAGAAAATTGCTATATGCACACGTCAGCGATTCTCCGGAGGTGCTTTTTTTCTGTGGCCCGAACGATGTAATAAATAGTTTTAGAAACAATGTTTGCAGAGTGACAGGCATAAATTGCCAATTGGATCCGTTGCGGATGGAGGACTTTTGGCCGGGATTTCGACTTCCTCTTTGTATTTAAAAAGACATTGCAACATCTGCGCTGCCATTCAATATAAATTGTGTGGCGACAAAAAGTTTTCATTACCCCAAAAATTCATAATTGGAAAATATTTCATTCAACGAGTCTCCAAATCCCAGACATTTAGTTGAATCTTCATGCCATTTGTAACACATAATGTGACACTGGACAGGAACTAATTACTATAAATTAGCGCTGCAAGCTTGTGTAACATTTGTATTTCATCAGCTATGAAAACACCTTTAAACTAGCGACATAATTGATATAAATTCAAATTAAACATGACCTGAATTTGTGCTCAATATTCGCCTGGAATTATTTATATATAACATCTCGTCATCAGCAATTGAGAGATCCTTCTATTAATGTGTGCTTTCGATTTTGGAGGGGTGGCTTAAGAAGAACCCCTCCCCAACAATGCCCTTTTTTTTTTAATTAAAAGTGATTTTTAATTGGAAATATTGGGGAAGCCGTGGTGAAATTTTCCATGCTTTTACTTTGCTGGGGGATTTCACAAATTGGAATTTATTATTTAGAGAGAGAGAGAGAGAAACTCATTCCATGTCCAGTGGTATTTGGTTACACGAAAAAACTCTCTCGGAATCATATTTTAATTTATTTTCACACCGGACGCAAAGCTGTTAGCAGCATTTAGAGAACTGGAAGTCCAAATTGCTTTAAAGCCATGAGAATCACCATCGGAAGCTTGTCCTACATTAGCACCTTGAGATCACACGCACACAGCGTCTTGTCTATTCAAGTAATTTGATAAGTGCGTAATCACACACATGCCATTTTTCCCCCCTCGATATATATATATTCGATAAACTGTGAGGTGAAATTTCGTTCTTGTGTCAGGGAGGTTTTTGGGTCACAAATGTTGAGAAAAGGAAGTGGAAAAAGAGGGAGAAAATGGAAGGAAGAAAATGTGAAAAACGCACGCAAAGTGGTTTCTAAAAATATAATTTAGGATACACTATGTGTTCTATTTGGTGATTCATTTTCACGATAGCTTCATTGAGCATTCGCAGCGTCTTTGCCGTCAACTTCGCATAAGTGCTGATCATTGATATTAAAAAGCCTTTGGCATAATGTAAAAATTGAATAATGCGACGCAATGGTGGAAGAAATCTCTTCAAATTGCTCCTTCGTCCCCCGGAATTCTTCCCTTTTTTTCTGGGTTGCGTGAAACCCTGAGATTTTATACCCCTAAATAATCCGCTTGGGTAGTGAATTCCCGAGCTGAACTGGAAATTTTTCAACCTCAACTATGCCACAAGCTTGCACACATATTCGCCACATGTGAGAGTGAATGTTTGGGGTGGCGAAAAGGTGGGATGTTATGTACGGAAGAAGGCGAGAAAAAACATATTTGCTTTTGATTAGTGGAGAAACGTGAAAAAGCGACTATTCTGGGGAATGCCAGAAAGCCACTGATCCGGCATGAGTGTCGATATGGCCTAGAAAACAACTTTTCTCCCCCTTGATCGCTCTATTTGAGGCAAAATTACTAAGTGGAGTGAAACTCCACAATGAATACTTTCTGCTGAGCCACAAGAAGTGCCCTTTTTTCCCTCCTCTATTCTCACGTGCGCCCTCAAAGTGGGTCACGCTGCAGAGTGAGTTATTTATCGATGTTGAGTGCATCTTCGTCGTGCTGCAAATAACTTGCCATGATTGCAAATTAAAAGCTCTAATCCCGTGACATTTGAAGATTGAGACAAGATTGCATATTGACGCTGATCCGCAACTCGGCGACGTTCAATTCGGGGAAGCTCTTCCAAAGCGCACACTGACGAGATGGCCAGTGAGAAAGTGCTGGTGCTTCTGCAAATCCTCATCCATATGGGGAGTATCGAGTCGGAAATCAATCAATCAAAGCCAACTAGACATCAAATAGACTGCAGAGCGTGTTGAGCATCGCCAAGGGGTTTTATTCTTGCTGAAATATGGCAAAATCCCATTTTCATATTGAATCTCTTATCACGCTTATGAGCGATTATTTCACATCACGCCACGCCCACCCTGAGGCCCCGCCCACTCGTTAGCGTGTGCTGAGCAAGTGAGCGCCCCCTGCCATTTGCCTGCACATGGAATCTGTGAATTGGTGTCCAGTCGTATATATTGCCATTTTTCCTCCTCCGTGCGATGTACATAAAAATAATCCTAACAAGGAGGGGATCAATAAGGCTGAGCACAAAGAAAAGCAGTGTGAAAGGCACTCACGGCACTCACAGTCCAATTCAATATTCAATGGCTGACAGATTAGCAAAGTTGTGCCAATTCTGTCGTAATTACATATTCATTAGATTGGATGGAATGCTCTCTCAAATGCTATTTCTCGCCATCCTTGCTGATATGTATACATATGTATCCCTTCTGTGTCCCTCCAGATGCCAACAAGTGCTGAGGTTGGCTTCGGCAGCTGACAAGAATTGGCGGGGATGGGAAGACAAGCGGCCGCCCGTCCCTCGACGACGGGTTCTCACAGGAGGATTGCTTCCATCGCCATCGTGCCACTGCTGTTCTGCTTCTGGCCGCCCGTCGTGGCGCTGGAGCACAAGGCCAAGCAGGAGAAGACACAGCCATGCGAGCCACGCACGCTGGACGAGAGCCCTCCTGATCCCTGGTACGACGCCACGGACATCACCCTCAGCACTGCGCGCTCCCTGGCCGAGTATCTGTCGCTGAAGCCCACGCAAAATGAGGTGAGCTCGCCAAAATTCACCCACATTTTCCAGGATAACGTGAGGATTTCTCTCCCTTGCAGGTTCGCCAGAAGGCAAATGCTTTAGCGAAGAGCGCTCTCAAGGAGGACGAGAACTTCCTGGCAGTCGCCATTGCCGCTCCCACCGTTTCCCTCGGCGTCGTTCAGTTTCGCGACCAAGTGGACCGTCCGCCCCATTCCCAGTTCAACCACAGCTTCCTGGCCACGTACTGGCGCGAATTGGGCATCGCGTGGAACCACACAGATGGCTCGCAGTTCTGGGGAGTGCCGTTCAGAGACTGCGGGCCCCTCGTGAACCGCTGGCTCTGGCCGTTCAGCGTCACCATCCACGAGCACGGCTACAAGGTCGTGGCGTCCTCCTTCATAGCCGCCGACCAGGATCAGTGCAATGACGCCCTGGAGGCAATCTTCGGCCAGAAGCACCGCTGCGACCGCGAGACCACCTTCTGCCTGCAGGGCGACGTGGACGTGGACGCGCCGCGCAAGGGCGGCTACACGTGCGTGTGCAAGCAGGGCTTCTTCGTGCCCAACCAGACGCTGCAGGGCTTCGAGGGCGAGAAAGTGGAGGCGGGCAGCGCCAATTTCAGCTGCATCCCCTGCCCGGGTGGGTGCACGGAGTGCAGCAACACGGGTGAGTGTCTGTTCGGGGACGAACAGGAGGTGCTCTCCACCGAGACGCTCTTCAAGTCGTCAATTGGAGCAATATTGGGCGCTTGCATGCTGTGCTGCTTCGTGCTGGCCGTCATTGTGTTCCGTCAAAGGAAGTGCAAGGTGGGTTCTCTTGCCTCTGACTCTCGTCACTCGTGCCTAATTCCATTTTCCCCCCATGTCAGACCATCGCCACGGGAATGTGGACTGTGCTGGAGACAATCCTCTTTGGAATAATACTGCTCTACGAGGCTGTGAGTGCTCCTTGTCATTTCATTTCACCCCAAAATGGGCAGAAATTTAATTAATTTGTTCCATGCAAATGAAAGACGCATATTTTGATTGTGCCGACGATGGGCATTAAAGCATGGTATTAAAATTCTGTTAGTAACGCTTTGCCACTGCCAGGATCAATCTATGTGTTTTGCAATAGATAATCCTGTGATAAGCCAATCGATCGTCTGTAGGCAACATTCGAAGCAAGGAGGAGATAATATGGTGGAATTCTCTATATAAATCGGAATAAATTTTGGAAGAGGTGCGCTAACAAGTGCGCTAATTTGTTAACAGCGCATCGAATTTACTCTTCCACTTCCCGATACACCGCAGCCATACTATCTCCCCCTTGACTCGTAGTCGTCAGCGGTGTCGCTGAGCCAATATTGACTCTAAATTCAAACAGGTGGCTCTTCATTTTTTACCTGCCTCCACCCTCCGATGCCTCCTGGAGCCGTGGTGTCGCGAGCTGGGCTTCGTCATCTGCTACGGTGCCATCATCCTGAAGCTCTATCGTCACCTCATTGAATTCCGCACACGCAAGGCTCACCGGTGGGTGGTGCGCGACCTGGACCTCCTCAAGTATCTCTGCGCCATGATTGTGGCGGTGCTGTGCTACCTGTCGGCCTTCACGGCCTCCGCCATGGACTTCCTGGAGCACGGCGGGCTGCTGGGCCTGGAGGAGGACGACACCAACACCTGCCGCCCGCTCAAGTGGGACTACGTCACCCAGGCTGGCGAGATGTTCATCCTGGCCTTCGGCCTCCACCTCGGCTACGCCAGCCGCAATGCCAACACGCAATTTCGGGTGAGCCATCCAGAGTTCGCACAATGCTCACCAACCCGTGAAATTTGCTGCGTTTTAGCCACTTTCACGCTCCATCAGAACCATATTAAAACCAATTTATCGCCTCAATTATAAAATATTGCTGGCAAATATTGTACCTATCGATTTTCCTTCGCCACACATCGCATGCATACGCTAATTTTGCTCACTTTGCAGTTACTATGATTTGATTTGATGCCACTCGCAGAAGCATTAATAATCTCGAAAATTTTTTTCTCCACTTTTTGCAGGAAAGACAATTCCTCGTCATTTCCATCTCGATTGAATTCATAGTGTCATCAATTTTTTATACAATGAGAGCACTGTATTTGCCAGAACTCAGTCCAAGTGAAATATTTCTGGCGCTGTTCTTGCGATCTCAACTCACCAACACCGTCACGTTGGGATTAATATTTCTGCCAAAATTGTGGTATCAACACAAACAGGTACGTTTCCAATCCTCACCCACGGACCGAACCTCCCTCAATGTTTTCCTCCAAAGGGTATTCAACTGGGAATTGAATCATGCCAGTCGAATCACGGCCAAATTATAAATTGGAGAGACTCAGCATGTATGTTGATTCAAAGTTGTCCGCATTCGGCCTTCTGACAGTCGCACCGTCCCTTAAAACAGACTTTTGCAAAGCTCAAGGGAGAGAAAATACGGCCAAAATCTGTACATCTGACTTCCAGAACTCAAAGATTGCGCCAAATGAGTGCAAAAAATGAAGCTTAATTGATGGAAAATGGACCAAAAAGCCTGCTAAAAGGAACTAGAAGGCGCAAGAAATTATGCTTAAGGATCTTTGGACCCTAATATCTCCCCCTTGGTGTGCAACTCTTTGACGTGAGCGCCAGTGAAACACAAGAGAATCACTCGAACGTGCCTTGCGTGCGAATAAGGGCAAGATTCAATTCACATGGTGGATGTTTGAGCACCCCTTGGTCGACGTCCCTCACTCCTGAGTCCTTTCCTGTGCCAGACCTCAAGTGATATGATATGTTGAGTCACTTTATTAATTGTTGAGCTGCTTTTTGCCATTAAACTCCATAGTGTCTCTGTTTGTTGTTTCATGCCATGGGATGATGTCTTGTAGGACGCGTCCTTTTTCACTCAATTGGTTTAACATAGTGTTTTGTGCGGTGTATTAATTTTCACACAATCCACGAAGAATTTCACAGGCAACTTGCTCCCCAAGTTGTGTCCTCATTATTCTCCCGCCCAATTAATCAATTACAACACACAAACTGATAAGAAAACGAGCACAGCGTAATGGCTGTGAGAACAAAAGTGACTCCCAATTAGCTTCTTTTTCTTCATGCCTTGTGTGGAAAGGTGTCTCTGTTTCCCTTCTCTCTCTCTCTCTCTCTGAACTTTTTACTGTGGATGTTTTGTGTGGTGTTTTGCATCAGAATAGCTTGCAGGTTCGTTCCCTAACCCAAGAACTATCATGCCGCTTACCTGTGGATGCTTTCAAGGGGTCCCACGATGTCTCCCACCACGGCGGCGGGGGAAGTGGCGTCGGCGGCGCTGGGGCGTGCATCCTCGGCGACCCGGACATCGGTGACTTGAGCCTGTCCGAGATGAACCCGGAAGATATAAGAGCAGAGCTGAAAAGGTAAAGTTCACACACACTTCTTCCTCGTCTGTCTCTCTCTGTGTGTGCCGCAAAAAACTTTTTCTCCTGTAACTAATTCTCTGCTCTGGCGAATGTCCTCTTCTCGTTATAGACTGTATACACAATTAGAAATTCTGAAAAATAAGACACTGCGACAGGATAATCCGCATATTAGCAAAAGACGAGGAGGCAGGAAAGTTGCTCACCGGAGATTTTCACTTCAGGTTTGTTCACCACTTAATGGCACTTTCTCACGTACTTTTCCTCCTACGTTTCGTCCATCTCTCTTGATATATTTTCTATGATAACATTTCAAGTGATATTCCATCATCTTCCTCTCCTTTTCTCTCTCTCTCCCAACGAAACCTCAGCCGAACGAGAATTATTGACTCTCTGCACTTAATGTAGGAATATTGGAAAGGACGAACAAACAACTTAGAGAGATAAAATCAAATTCTCACCATTTTTTTTGCACACAATTCGTGAAAACATTCGAAAATATAATTCCGTGTGCTTAAATTTCATTCCACGTCAAGTGTGCAACTTTAAAAATACGATGAATATAAAGCTCCCAATTTCAAGCGAGAGATCTGTTGCTGAAAGGTTCACCCCAAACTTATTCAGCAGCACACAATCGATTGCACAGTGTGAAATTGTGCGACATATTGAGCTACAAAGTAATTTATTTTGCCCAGAATATGATAGAAATAAGCAATACACCAGCCGAGAGCCAATATATCAAAATCCCATTCTTCATCAAATCCCAATGCAAAATCAATTTTCCCCAAAACAGTATTATATGAAAATTGCAAGAGACTTATCAATACAATTCCCTATTCCCCAAATTAAGTGTCATATAAATACCATTTTTGTCGTTTATGATCCGATTTGTAGTGGTTATTTTCGAGTTTTATGTTCGCTATCATGTCCACATATGGAGAAATCATTCCTAAAATACTCTGTAAATTTAATTTGATTTTTAATTGTTTGCAAAAATTGCAATTTTTAGTCATATTTATACAAATAATACAATATTTGATATGAAAAACTTTTCCATTTTAACAACTTTAATAGTATATTTGAATTTGGAAATTGTATTTTGTCCTTTTTTAATGTAGTTTATTTTAGTTAAATATTTCACTGCATCACGAAGAATTATTCTAAAATTATCCAGGAGTATTTAAAGTTTGCAATTCGGACATTTAATGTCACTTCTAGACTTTCTTGGTGATGGAATGAAATTTGCAAACCTTACTAAGAGTGTCCAAAAAATCCCCATAGAAAAGCTCCCAAATCATGGTAGATGAATTAATGAAATTTTCCGATTATATAATATCTTTTGTCGTCATGCTTGCGATAATGAAATGTAGAAAAAAGGAAGTAAGGATAAGGTGAGACTCACCCAATAATTTCTCTCATTTCTTCACCCCCCCCCCTCAATTTGCGCACACACACAAACACTCACTCACTTTTTAATTCGAGATTTCGTGCACTGTGATTTTTACCTGTTCTGTTTTGAGTCCAAAGAGAGTTTTGCTGTTCGTAACACAACCTCAATATAAGCGTAGATGATTAAATTCCACACCCTTGAATTCTGTACATATTTGGGGCTTTGAGGGGATGCCTGCGGCCGCTCTCTGGACCCCTGTGGTCACTAATATCCCTCTCGTCTCTCGCCCGTGCGCCGGACAGGCCCTCAGTGCCAAGCACCGGAGCCACAGACACAATGCCCACGACATGGAAGTGACCGAGGCCGAGCCGTCGCGCACGCCGGAGGACTCCGTCTGCAGCGGCGAGGGCCCCACGGACACCGGCGGCGAGATGTCCGCCGTGTCAGTGTCCAAGTGAGTGTTCATCCCCATTACCACCCACCAGAGACAAATATATAGTGTAGCCGCTAAGTGAGAGGCGCCTTAACACTCTCCCGGTTTGCAGAGATTGAGCGCAAAATCGAGTCGTTTCGTTCGCAATTTTGTGCATTTCAAACACAGTTTGCGCGGTAATTTGGCTCAAACCGCGCAAACTGCGTTTGAAAGGAGTTTTATGGGAGGTTTGAAAACATTTTCCAGCCCGTGGAAACTTCGGAAAGTGAGTTTATGCAGGCAATTTTCGGTCTGCAAGTGCAATTTGACTCCTGAATAACTCTTTCACATTTCCCGAACTTCTCTCAAATGATACGACTCTGCTTACATTAAGCACTTTTCCCGGGTCTTATCATTAGAGAGAAAAGACATTTGGATAATGTATTTTGATTTGATCTGAAAAACCTTACAGAATTTCAAAGAAAATTCAACACGAAATGAAGTTAAGAAAGTCTTTGAATATCATTTTCATGCTTTGCAATAGAATTTTGACTTGTGAAATTTAATTTTCTCAATTTTCTCATTCAAATGCAAAAATGTTTCTTCGGGTATTTCGAGAATTATTGCATATGAAATACTTCACTTTTAGTGATGCTTCTTTGCATCAAATGAAAACCAATTAAATCATGTGCACATTTCTCAAAGCACGAGCCGGAAAATACAACCCAGAGTGGTTTTCCAGTGATGCTGGAGACTCGAATTTGGTCACAGAGACCGCAAAAACCGAGAAAGTGTTAAGGCCAGTGGCGTAGAATTGTTTGGAGCTTGTGAAAGCTAATGAATTTAATTTGCTTTCGCTCCGGATTCCACTGACTTCATCACGCCACTGATTGCAACTGTAGATTAGGGTAGATTTCAAAAGGATTTAGAAGAATTTCTGTTTGCTAAATTTTGTGTACAGTGAGAGAGAGAGAAGAGGGCAAAGCATAAAATGTGAAGAGTAAGAAATTATTGTTATCGCGTAATTGTTATGAGCAGAAAGTGAAGAAGAAAAAAACTAAGAGTTAATTTAGTAATCTACTCAAGTAAAAATGTCTCAAAAGTGAAGAAAAATTGGATATTCAAATCACAATGTGTCCCATTAGATAAAAGAGATATTGAATCAAATAAAATTATTGTGGAATCGCGACACTTTATTTTGAGAAGTATATAAACTTCTCAAATGATGGAAATTAAGAGAGTTTTTATCGCTGTGACATTGTTTTCTCGGTGTGTAAATATTGCGCTGGGTGGAAAAAAAAAATTTGTAGCACTGAATTTTTGCTGGAATGGAAAGCATTTCGCCATGGAATGGTGAGGAAGAAAAGAAAAATTCAATTTCATTTGCAATTATTTATCAAAAGTTTATGATTTTGGGATTTAGTGTAAATAAATGTACCAAGTTAGTTAAATCGATCTCATATTGTAATTGGCAGAGAAAAGGAGCAGTAAAGTTTAAATAGCATTAGATAATAATCTTTAACAGCGAACATGAATTTATGTGAATAGACACAGCATTATTCATATGACCAGAGCTTGAGTTTTTTTGGATGGCATCTCTGGTCCTTAGGAGAAAAGAAGATAGAGTTGTAAAAACCACATCAACCACCGAAAAAGAAGAAGCAGTAAAATAGTTTGGAGTGAAGAAATAGACTTGATTGCTAAGGGGGACCAAAATGTCCTGAATTATGATAAAAAAAAAGCTAATCAATTTGATGGCAAAGAAAAAAAGGAAAAACTTGCCGTGCATAGAGCAAAATATATACCCAGAAATCTATATAAAATGTGTTGAGAAATTATACAGCAGACAAAATATAGTGAAAGACAGTGAGAAAATTACCTCCTCTTAACGTGAATATTAACCAAGGGGGAGATATTATGGTCGGAAGCAGAAATATTAAAAAATTACTTATTAATTTTCTTTTTACTTCACTTATTTACCTAATCAATTATTTGCACACAATGAAAATGCGATTTTCCATGGGATTGCAAGAAGGGCAAGAAGTCGATTTTGTATGAGAATCGATGAAACTTTTAGGTTATGTTTTCAACGGCCAGTCTTGTCATATTTTGGAAAATTTACCTTTGCAGTGCGAATTTCTTTGCAATATTTTTCCACAATTAGACCCTCAAATCCTATCCGGGTCGCCAAAATAAACAACTAGAGAATATTGACTTTCTTTTGAATACGATCAATGGCCCCAAAGAATTGCAATTGATAACAAAATTTCGACATGAAAATCTCTGCCGTTGAACTTGCTTCCCGGTCCGAGAAAACAGGGAAAGTCAGAATCCAAATCTCTGCAGCAAAAGATCACTCTTCAATAGCAATTATCGTGTAGCCCTATTAAAAAATAGAGATCAGGCTTTGTTCCAGAGAAAAATTGGGGAAAGTAGATTTTCTTTCCGGAATCGCAAACAGTGACGTAGTTTAGCATCTGTTCGAGCGTTTTTCATGACACATTTTGCGCAGAGAAATTAAAAAATCTTGTATTTAAAAGCTTTTAGTGCTAATAAATAAATATTTTCGGGTTTTTTGACTTCTATGACACTGAAAACTGGAAAAAGATTCTCAAAAAATAATCAATTGTGTGAACGCCGATCGTTAAATCGATTGATATATCGAGGAATCGAGTTTTTGGCACCACATTTGAACTTTTCTTGCAATCCCCTGCGATTCCCAAACTCTTTTTTGTGAATAAATGCAATATTAAAGACTCAACTTACCGATGTTTTTTTTACATGTGGAACCACACGATCTCCTCCTTGATATTAACATAAACAATGATAGAAGCAAAATTGGTAAATCACATAAACTAATTGTAATTGTTCGAGAAAGTGTAAAATAGCAGCAGAAAGATTGCAAATCGAGAGATGCTTACAAAAGTCTCAAACGAACCCTTTTTTTTCTTTTCACTTTAGGATGAAGAATATTTATGAAGAGAAAATACCGCCCAAGAAGACATTTTTCAATAAATGAGAATATCCATCAATTTGCTAATTATACTCATTGAATCTGATAATAATGCCAAAGGTATTTATATGAAGAAAATGAGGGTGGAGAGAATTTAATACAGAAAATCAAATGGAGAATCAAAATCCTGACCGAGAGAGACAGAGAGAGAAAGGAGTTGAGAAGAGTTGAGAATGTTGCAATGGTGCGAAGGAAAAGCAGGATTTTGACCTTCAAACGGATGCATATTTATGAATACTAGTACAATAAAGTGAAATAGAAAAGCACTTTGCGTGTGGAATTCTTTGCCGGTCATCAGCAGTCTGGCTCCATGCGCTTCCTCACTTCCATACAGGATGGGCAGACGAACTCGCCCGGACGGTAGTCAGCCGTGTCGTACGCCTGATCGTGGCAGATCACGTGGAAGAGGTTGGTGCAGAAGTTGCAGGACTTCAGCTGGTGTTCTCCGGGGCGCGAGCAGATGACGCACGTCGGCGCCGGCTGAGCGGCCTCCACGGGTGACGTGGTGGAGGAGCGGCTCTGCGGAGCGGACGCCGCCTTCTCCTCGTTGGACACCCTCTTCTTCCAGTGCAGCTGCCGTCTGCCGCGCACAGTCCGCGCAGCCACGATGTCGTGGTAGTCGTAATGGAAGTCCGTGCGCTCTGTGCTCTGGATGTTGCGCTTCCGGCGCTCCGGACGGCGGTTCTTCAGCGTCTCGTTGTACGAGTGCGTGTACAGGCCGAAGAAGCGCAGGAAGGACTCTTGGTTGTAGTTATCTGGCTCTGGCGGTTCAGGCGGCAGATGCACAAACGGCATGAGCGACTGCTCCTCCTCCGATGGCGCCACGGAGGAGTGCGAGTTGCTGGGCGAAGTCTCTGTGTCGCTCTCTTCCTTCAGGCCTCGCGGTGGTGACAATTGCTTCTCGCGCATCGTCTTGGCATTCTTCAGCGCCGCCAGCAACTTCATGCGACTCCGCTTCACGGCATTCCCGCCGCGGAAGTACTGATTCTTGTTGCGCATCTTCTTGCGCTTCTGCTTGAGCTTCGGCACGCGAACGCCGCGGGAAGTGTCGCTGCTGAAGGACATTCTCGGGTTCTTGGGCTTCAGCAGAATCATCGGTCTGCTCTGTGCAGGCGCCAAGCCCAGTGGATGCTCTAAATCATACTTCCTGATCAGCTCCACGTCCGTGAAGCGTCGCCGCACTTTCACAGGCTCAATTGTCTGGTATGTGCTCTCGAAGTGATAATAGAGATGCTTCGAGAGATACGCATTGTAGAGATTTGTGTCCAATGGAGTGTCACTCATTGGACACGTGGAGTGGTACTTCTCGATGTCATCACGGAGTCGCTGAATCAACTCTCGCTGATCCTTCATCAAGTCCCGGATGGCATTCTCAATATGCTTCAGGGCCGCCAGGAGCTTCCTGCTCTGCAATTGAGAGCAAATATTCACACATATTCATGCTGTAGCAGTCATAAACAACTTACCAGTGCATTTTTCACCATCCGAAGGGCGCATATCTGGCAAAATGAGAGGGAAACAGTCATGAGAAGAGCTCAGAAGATCACATTCCCGGACAACTTACCTGATGCACTTTAATGTAGTCTCTCAGCACTTTCTGGCAATAGACTATGTCATCCTTCAGGTCGTCTGAGATCTTGAACAGACTTACCACATTCTTTTCGTAGTCTTGCTGCTCCGGAGTCTCTGAAGCTGACATTTTTGCAAGAAAACTTTGAGGCGCGTTGACTTGTTTTGAGGCCAAAACCCTCAGAGTGGCGGTCAACTTGACAGTCAGCCAACCGAAACGTTTTCCGGCTTAATTTCCAGATAAATCGTGAGAATATCAATTTATCTGGCTAATAAAGCACACAGAAAGAGATATGTGATGAAAACACTTTAAAATTTTAAGGAAAATCCGGAGAAAATGCAGGAACCCCCCAGAGAAGCGCCAAAAGGAAATTATGGCACTTTGACAATCACATTGACGAAAGCGACGCCTAGCAGTTCAGCTGGGAGTTAGCAATCAGTTTCTCACCGCTGGTCACCCTGTGAAATTTTCTTTGAGGTGTTGTTCTCTCAAAATACCCTAAAAGTGAGTAAATAACGCAAATTCCAGGATAAAACTTCATAGTAAACCCTAGAGCACCTAATCATAAATCCTTACGCACTGCCATGCGGATGAAATCTGTGATGTTTGTCATGGAAAAGTGCATTCACTGATTCTAACCTATAAAACATTACATAATTTCTCCGTGTTTCTCAAAAAGGCTCTTTTTCCAGTTCCAGAAAGATGCCTCTGCTGCTGAGAGGAGCCCGCATGCTGGCCACCCGAGGGGCGCGCCTGATGCAGTCCCGTGGCTACGCCGATGAAATGAAACTCACCTTTGCGGCCGCCAATCAGGTGTTCTACGATGATCTGGAAGTCCGGCAAATCGACGTCCCCACATTCAGCGGCCACTTCGGCATTCTGCCCAAGCACGTGCCCACGCTGGCCGTGCTGCAGCCGGGCGTGGTGCAGGTGTACGAGAAGGACGGCTCCTCGAAGAAGTTCTTCGTCTCCAGCGGAACTGTGACTGTGAACAATGACTCCTCCGTGCAAGTGCTCGCCGAGGAGGCTCATCCCGTGGAGAGTCTGGACATCAGCGCAGCCCGTGAGGTTCTGCAGACGTCTCAGCAGGAGCTGTCATCGGCACAGGGTGATGTGGTGAGTGCAAAAGGAGGTGCTTTTGGTGGCAATTCTCCGCTAATGTTTGGGTGATTTCCAGGCGAAGGCGGAAGCTGCGATTGCTGTGGAGGTTTCCGAGGCCCTGGTGAAGGCTGCGCAGTAGGAATATCCGAGAATGGCATCTTCTCATAATGATTAGATTGTGAAATGTAAAGGAGATTGATAAAAAGTCATGAAAATACTTCAAAATTGCGGTTTATTCACTGTGTTTCATTATCACAGCCATTGATTTACTTCATTTCAGGGAGTCTTTCTGGTCAGAATCCAGTAAAAGAGCTCCTGAGGATGAGATGATCTCAACTGAACGAAAGACGCAACATTCGAATGCGCAATTTCGCTTGAAAGTCTGCAAATCCACTTGAAAATGGTCAACGGCCGATCAATGGCGTAATGGAGTAATAAAAAGGTCACTTAAAATGAGAATTAAAGTTGGTTATAAAGCATTCTTTCAACTCCCGTCTTTGTCTCTTCCTGACCCACTTTTTCCCCACACTGAATTTCTCCATTTGCTGCGAAGAAAGAAGCGCGTGTTGGGAATTATGAGCGGTGAAAGAGTGGCGCGCGGACAAAAAGTGTCCTCACGATCTTTGGCGTCACATAATCATGAGTTTCCTTTTTGTTCAACCACCCAATGCGTGGCATTTTGTCTGAGTTGAAGATGGGCGAGGAGAGAGAAAGATGCAAAAAGAAGCCCGGAAGATGTTTAACCTTTGATAATTCCTGAATCGCATAATTTGTGCGGCTGAGAGTGAAATTTTGGGAGTTTCTTCATTGCTTGTTCGCAGAGGCATTGCTCTCAGTTTCACGCCAGTTACCGTCCGCGGTGGGAAATTGGTGAGATCAGGCTGAAGCAAGGCGATCCTCAGCATCGCGTCGATTTCCTCACAACTGCCGATAACTCATAATCTTGTAATGCTGAACTTCTTGCGACTCACAACTTATATAACGACCGAAAAGTTTATGCTCAGGAGTTGATTGCCGAACAAATGCATGCTGGAATTCATCGTGTTATAGATTAACCCACATAAGAATTCCAATGCTTCGCCTTTTAGAAGAATTCACCGGCGCGTTACATAAATAAAAAAACGAAAGTGTTTTCTTATTATTTATAGCCGACGAGCCTTTCTGGGCGAATTCTTGCGGCGAAGATCGCGCTGCCCGGCGTTTTTCTTTCTCCAAAGGTCGCCCTAATCTAATCGATATTTGTCAGAGAGGTTTATTATTTGTGATGTTGCATAATGTCGTTATGCTATTTGCGAAATAAATGTGCATATTTGAAAAGGAAGGCAAGTCGGCGTCCCAATGCAAATAATTTCGTAAACTGCGCGCGCGGGGAACACTTTCTTGGCTCTCTTTATGGAGAGGATGGAGAAAAAAAGCTAATTGACTCTTGTAAATTTGAATTTTGCTTGCTTTCCTTTCGCCGGACTGAAGGAAAATCTCCGAATTTTGTGAATATCATCAATAAATACTGCTTATGAGTGAAAATAACTTGAGATTCCCGCTTCTTCAACTTCCGAAAGTATTATAGAGACACTCATCATTCACATTTTGTACGCAATTGACGCTTATTGTGGTGATGCTTTTTTCCGCGCACTCGCGCATCTCATAGAGCTCTTGTAGTAATCACAATCCGGAAGATGGTCCAGCTTGTTGAGACTTTTTTTTTTACCTTCAGCCATCATCTTCATCATCTATTTCTTCAGCCCACAACGCTGGGCGATCACCAAAATTCACATTGTTCAATCACACAAGCGCCGAGAGCCGAAAAACAGCCGATATGGATAAAAAAAATATACACAGATTCTTCATCAACGGTCTTTATGAAATCTTGAATGCCACATAATTTGTTTGTTAGGCGTCGCGTGCAATAGCAAGCGGTGTAAGTTGCCTGAAATTGAGGTAAAATGAAGTGAAGGTTTCCAAAATTACGCCTTATCGCATAACAAATTGATCCGGTTTCTTCAAATTTGCTTCTTTCTCATAAATAATTTAGCCAATAATGCCCGAGAAAATGCTGAATAAATGCATACAACACGTGTTGCTTCACTCTTCCAAATGTGTACGGAGATTTGGAGATAAGATGCCGCTTCAATGAGAAGGCAACGCTCTTGCGTTGCCTCAAAGGCGAGAGTATTTAGCTAAAATCTGTACATCTCTCTCAATGGGTTCCAAAGGAAGTTAAAGGTTTGATTTGAGAACTCTTTTTGCAGTTGATTAACTTGAATTTAAAAGTTTCCAGAGGATATTTTTGTAATTATTCATTAAAAATGGCCTTTTTGGGCACCAATTTTATTCTTATCGCAACATTTCAAGGATTCTAATCAATTAAATGGATTGAAAAGGAGCACAAAACGCGTTAAGTATCAAATTTTGACTGTTGTTGAGTCAAAAGAAGGTCAGAACGCTAATTTCCTTAATATTCTTAATATTTTTGTCGAATTCTCAATTCTGCTTAATAAATAGGAATTCTTTTATGTCTCTGAAGTCTTCAGCTGAGCTGTACACCAGTTCAGAGCGAACTTCTTCCCTTGCGCGGCCGCTTTGGGGCGTCTTTTCACTATTCTCGCCAATTACTCCAAGAGGCGAATCTGTGGGATGCAGAAAAACGGATCGGCAATTGAACAGCGCCACTTCTTCACGCTGTGCGATGATGATGATGTCGCCAGCGGAGTGGCATTGGCATTCAAAAGCCCGGAGAGGCTCAAAGCGCCGAAATTGATGGACATTACGAGTACAGAGATTCGACAAGTGCTCAAGATGTTTGTGCAGTGCATCAGATCATCAATCACACTCGATCACAACGCCCGTAATTCCAAATGCCAGCGAACTTTTGTGCCAAAATCTCTGGCGCTCTGATGAAAATGAAAGTTGTCTAGAGAGAGAAAGACAGATAATAAGTGAATGAGCCAATAGAAATTCCGTCAAATTGTGCATAAAAATGCAAAAAAAAAATTTGATTTGAAGCTGAGAAGATAGAAGACTTAATAATCTTATTAGCATATATTGCACTTTCTTACTGATATAAATTACTATCTCAAAATATGTTGCAAAAGAAGATCGCGCGCGCTGTTGAATAAATATTAATAGCGAAAAGATGCACAAATAATCGAGTGAAAAACACATTTCTTCATCACACGATGATAATCTTCAAGGAACTCACACAATGAGATTTGTAAGAAATCGCTTCTTATTATAGGATGACACCCAATGATTGATCATAATGATGTATTAATGTTGTAATAAGATTGAATTTAAATAAGATTTCACGTTCAATTAAAGCATTCATCTTAATCTCCATGATAAAAATCATCAATTAAAGCCACGCGAATTAATTGTTCACTTGTTGTCTGCTGTCACAAGAAGTTAGTGCAGAGGTGCTAAGTTATTGCTAAATGCCTGCGAAAACATTACATTTTTCTTGCCTTTCGCAATGTCCACAATGAATCGTTATAATAGCTGGAATTGAAGTTTTTAATCTCATTTCGACCCGTATGAAATAGACAAGGATTTTTTCTCCCATCAAGAGAGCGCCCAAGGTAGTCTATCTCATCTCAAAATCATTTACGAAAAAGTAGTAATAAATTGTTTAAATATATCTTTCGGTGGTTATTTTTTGCTGCCTCCCTCAGACGCTTCGCGTTGTGTGAAAATGCAAGACAAGGCCCTTGAATTCTCTTTTCTTTTTTTTCCATGCCATTCCCAATATTACCAAATGCTTTGTCTAACAAACCAAGCTCGTTAGTGCGCGATGTTCGCCACAGAAATTGAGCCACGAAAGGAGGCACTTGTACAAGGTTTGCGCGCTCTAGAATGGGTCATCGCACGATAGAGTCAAGCTCAAAAGAGTTCCTGCTAAGCAGCACTTGATGACTACATTGGGAATCAATTCATCAATTGAAGCGATGATTGACGAGCACTCAAGACGCGTGCCAAATATTTCCTGGCACACGAGGTAAGAAAAAATCCAGGAAAATGCTTATTACTTCGCTACAAAAGGAATACCTAACAAGGGGGAGATATTATGGCCAGAAGTGGTGAACAAATCAGTAGAAGTATTCGGAAGTGTTTTAACATCATCACTATTGTGCGTTCAAAAGGAAAAACCACAGTTAGAGATGAAAAAAAGCTTTTAACATTTTTCTAGGTTATGTTATGAATTTAAAACAAACTTTGCTCACTTTGCCACTAAATAACCTTCAAAATCATTCATTCTTGTTTGTTTCAGGATACAAAATTGTCTGTTTTAAGAGCTGTTTGATTGATTTCTTTTTACTCTAAAATAGAAAATTGCAGCTCATTGTCGATGTTGCTATTAAAAGCTTGATAACTGAAGGTGATTTTTAGGTTATGTTTTAAAATGCATCCAAAAGAGTTGTTTGAAAATTGAATCACATCAAAATGACCACTAAAAACTTCAAATATTTCTTAAATATTGTTTTTCAGAAAGTTTTCATGATTAAAAAAGTAAAAAGTACATCTTTTTGAGGACAAAAACTCCCAAATTTGAGGTTATAATCATTTAGGTGGTTGAAAAACTCTACAAAGTCCAGTAAAAAGTGTAGAAAATAAGGAAAACATATGTTTTAAGCACTGCTGAAGTTCTGAAAGTATCTATTAAGTGTCAGGAAGTGTTGTACAAATTTTAGCCGTATTATCTCCCCCTTGGCGCCTAAGGCTTCTATTGAAATTGGCGAAAGAATGGTTGAATTTCAGCGGAGAAAAATTCATGAGGCCGGATTTGAATTAATTCATCTTTTAGACGCATGTTTCACTTGTCGTCAGAATTTGTTATGTGTGTTTTTCCATTTATATTGTGAAACTGAGCATGAGAGAGAAATAATAAAAGGTAAGGGTAAAAGCTGAAAAAACCCCTTCACTTTAGTTCACTTGCAATCCATACAATATCAGATCAAATGCGGCCAGGAAAAATGTTAATTAATCACAAGATATTCGCACGAGTTTTGTCGTTTTTGTGCACAAAATTTCATTTTGAACCTTCTGTAATGATTGTAATTATGCTATTTTGAGAAATTACCCGCAATCTATTTAATGGTTTGGATGTTGTGACACCTCCAAGACCTCCATCAGAAAGTCAAAAAGCGCACAATCAAGGCTCACCGAATTGCCATCAGTGGTCACAATCTAAGGTAGATCGAGAATTCGATTGTTATAATGCACAAAACTCTTTGTCTATTGCGAATAACAATTGGAATTGCTAAAAGTGGGCAATATATTTCAAGGCTTTGCGGTGGCTTTTCTCATCTCATCACTTTGTCAGAAGCTCTGGCGCTGAAGATGACTTTGAGTTCCGGATTGAGTGCTTCTTAATGACTTGTCCCACATGCTTTTATGCTCACTTTGTCGTGTTCTCTGCAAGTAGCACTGATTTGTAGTGAAAAACTTGCATTCATGATCCAGTCATTTAGAATCCTAATGAGTTATGATTACATATTTATCATTCTAAACAATGTTATGCTAATATGTGAACATGATTCATTACAGATAGTCTTTTTTTTCCTTGTCTTGGCGCATGAGCACGCCAATGTTTTGTGTGTGCTGTTCATCACGGTTTATTGAGATTTTGAAACATCTCCATGAGAAGTTGAGTAAAGAAAGAGGACAAAAACCACAACTACAATTAATTAATTTCACAAATTTATTCCTATTTATAAAGCACGTTAAGCAGAGATTTCCGGATTATCATGATTTGTGTTAGAAAGTGTCACAAATTATTTACTAATTCAAGTATAAGTCAAAGCTCTTAATTAAGACACATAGTAAACTTGAGGTTTTTGCCCGCAAAATGCTGGATTCTTGATTTAGAGTGTCTTTAGACACCCGAATTCTGAATCAATCCCTTCTGAAGGCTCTCTAAGTGAAAAACCGTGTTAAGGGCTAATCAATTCAACTCCCACATCAATCATTGTCCGCCCAATCATTGGGATCTTACGCAACAATCAAAATAAATCGTGATTTTCATCTTCATACCTCACAGCGTCACATAACAGAAAAGCGTCTTTCTTAGGGCCCAATCCGAAGATGCAAAGGAAAAAATCGAATGTCTCTGAAGTGCGGTAAACAATCAAATAATAGAAGCTGCGCGCATAAATTTATCGACGCGATCTCTCGTGTATGTAGAGGATGACTTTTGACTTCATTCATTACATTAATGCTGTTTGCGTGTGAATTTCTGTGGCGCACTTTCAATTTTTCAACAACTTTTTGGGGGTCATCGTTCTTGTAAACAATAATTTTCATTATGTCCAACATCTTGAAATTCAATGGACTTGCATCTTAAGTGTGTGAAGAGTGTGGTGAGAGGGAGGGAAAAAGAGTGGAAAACTTGTAGAAATTTTTCGACAAAAGCCTTCTCCCAATTTTTCGAAAGCAAGTGCGCGAAAGATGTTTAGGATTTTATTGTGTGATATGAGAGATTGACATGGAAATTGTGGGCAAAATAGTCAGCACAGAACATTGGGTGAAAAATGGCAAACTAGTTCTTTTGCAATGTCTTCATATTTTTTGCCTCTGCGATGGTGCCTATTGCGAAAAACTGCCAAATTTAATAACACCCGAATTAAGTGTGTTTTTATATCAAGATGAAGAGAGAGAGAGAAAAAAGACAGAGACAGCAAAGTGATCTTATTTTCTGACATGAACCCATTTCAATGAATTTTTGCTACCCCATTCACTTCTCCGACTACATTTCAATCAGCATTAATTAACTCCTCTCTCCTTTTTGCAACTCTGTTTCTTCTCCGGCGCAGTCACAACCTTACGAATTGTTGCAACATTTCTGCGCACTGCAACAGCATCGTTCTTAATTCATTGGCACTTTTTTCCTCTCGCTCTCTCTCTCTCTCTCTCTCTCTGTTTGGCATGAAAAAATGAAGCGTGATTTTTACATTTGATACACTTCTCAGCATGCAAAGATGACACGAAAATTGATGGGGCATTTTTCTTATTTTGGCTATAGAGATGACTCAAGAAGAGTGTGATGAGCTTTTTGAAAGCCACCCATTTATTCTCATTATCTGACCAGAAATTGCGTTACTCAATAAAATATTAACTATGATATTTTCTGGGGCAAGAGAGAGAACCACACGAGCCAATGGAAATGTACCGATAAGTTTTTAACAGCGCGCAAAAGATATCGCGAACGTTGTGCAACGTTATGAAAGATTGTTTGTAAATTTAATTATTATTTAAAAGAGACGATCACCTGCCAAACCATCCTATATGCACCCATGTGGACGTCCCTGGCCAACAAAGGTGTGCACTCAAAATAACCATCGCGAGTCGATTCTCAGTTTCATCCATCTTCATAACTCGCAATAGTAATTACCCAGTGTTAATGGCGCACTTGACAAATTGTCAATATCTTAAGCGTTCTGGGCAGCAAATTGCCATTTCCCAGCCAAAATCAAATGGCTAAGAATTACAGATAGAGATAAAAGTGCTAACATTTGAGCTGAATTCAGATAACATGTTAGCTAATCATCAGAAAAGCGATTACAACACTTGGAAGCTGAGATTATTATAATAGAAATAAAAACATTCAATTCATCTAAATTTTGAGACGAAGAATTAACTTGTAAATTGCTTCTTCCACTTCTAATCCCTAGTTTGTATTCTGGCTTAAATTAAGCTCACAATCGAGCTTCGCCGAAGCTTTGCTGTTGATTGGAATTGAAATCTCAGGTGGAATTGTGAACTTTAGGATGCTGAATGCTCTGAATAGGAATTGTTCGTGTTACAGTTTACACTTCAGCAATTCACTGCATTAATTCATTTCATTTTCCGTGTGATCTTTGTCATATTTCACGCACTTACAAAAGAATACATTTCGTGCCACCATTTCTCAATTGGACACCGTGAAGGGTGTGTAAAAACTTTCCGCTATCCAACATATCATCCTCAACCTCTTTAACTGCCGCAAAGTATCACTGAATTGTTAATTAAACGACTCTGGGATTTATGGCGAATGGAAATGTGAAATATTGATATTTCCACGATTGTAAATAAGGCGGGAGAAAGGAAGAACGCGGGCAAAAAATGCCTTAGCGTTACTTTAATTGCCGAAGATGTGATGAACTGAAAAAAAAAATAATATGATTCACCGGTCATCCTTGGTGAGTAATGCCGCGATTGCCAGATGATTGAGGAATGGATCCCCAGCTGTTTTTGGGTCCAAATTGAAAAGAGTATGGAAAAAGAGGCACACAAGAGTGTGTGTGCATGAAATTCTGCGTCCGTCAGTGGCCGCGAAATGCCAGTGAATTTGCTGATGGAAAGAAAAAAAAAACACTTCAATAATTTATGCATCATCAAATATCCGCGGAAAATGTTCTTGCGCGCACCTCAAGATGTGTGCACAAGAGGAGATTCCACCAGGTGATGCGCGCAAAAAGCCTTTGTGGAGGCACTGAGCGCTGCCATGAGCTGGGAAGAGACGCCCCACCACCAATTTCACTTTCAATTCGCCGCCGGACGGTGGGATTTTGATATAAAATAGGACTCTGGCGTGGATCAGGCATTAGTTGTTCCTCTCCCACGGCAACTACAACCATGAAGGTACGCAGTGTGGAATACCGGAGTGTCTAGTGATCAGTGTTCTGTGCGAGACGCGGTGCTAAATCTTTGCGCTCGATTGCAGGTCTTTGTGTGTCTTCTTGCGCTGGTCGCGACCACCCAGGCTGGCTTCCTCGGAGGCCTTGGAGGCTTCGGCGGCGGCGGCGGTGGCGGCCACGGAGGCGGCGGCTGGTCTAGCGGCGGCGGTGGACACGGAGGCGGCGGCTGGTCCAGTGGCGGAGGCGGCCATGGGGGAGGAGGATGGTCTAGCGGCGGAGGAGGTGGCTGGAAGTCCTCCGGCAGCTTCGGCGGCCACGGAGGCGGAGGCTATGGCGGCGGCGGCCATGGAGGCTGGTCCGGCGGAGGCGGAGGTCACGGCGGCGGTAAGTTTGACTGTATTTCATTTATTCAAACAACTTTGGAGTTTTTCCAATCAATTTTCTTCATTAAACCATCTTCAGATCGAAAATCACTTATATTAGTTGGCGATATTTGCCATTTATTAAAATATTTATTTTCTTTGTTGTCGCTAAATTTCCTTTCTAACGTTATTTTCTTATCCTTTCAGGACATGGCGGTGGCGGTGGCGGAAAAGTGATCAAAGTGATCAAGATCATCTCGTCCGGCGGCCATGGAGGCGGCGGCGGTGGCCACGGAGGCGGCTATGGCGGCGGTGGCCATGGAGGCTGGTCCGGCGGAGGCGGCGGTAAGTTAACCACGTTCATAGCCATGATAATCATTTTCCCGCCAAAATTTGTGCTTCAATCGATTCTTTCTCGTCCTTTCAGGACACGGAGGATGGTCCGGCGGTGGCGGCGGACACGGAGGCGGCGGCTGGTCAAGCGGAGGCGGCGGCGGATGGTCCAGCGGCGGAGGAGGAGGCGGCGGATGGTGGTAAATTCACACTTCAGCGCCCGCGACTCAATCAAGAAGCCCCATCACTGCCAAATTCCACCACAGTTACCACCCCCGTCTTGCAATCTTCAGCCAGAAATGATCGTTAATTTATTGTTCAAAGAGATTCACTTGTAAATTGTACATAGACAAAAAAAAACTGAGTGTGTTTGTGAGCTTTACTTTTGTATGAAGAAAAAAGTCATGTATAAAGATAAATCTAAACCAAAAATTTCTCCTGCGTCTTCTTCCCATGGTCACAACGCATCGTTGACCGAAAATCCCACTCGTGAGCATTTGCAATGATGCTCTTCATCATTGCAGAGAGACATTAGATAGAAGATGGGAGGGAAAAAATGGTTGTGAAAGTGAGAAATGTTTAGAGGAGTTCACTAATTTCAATACAATGGCGATTTGGCAAAAATTATGCTCAATTTGCCATCATCACCGATTATAATCGAAATTCATCCGTTCACTTTGTAAATTATGGTAATAGAAAAGGTATTACTTTTAGGAAGGAAATTCAAAATGTTTTTAATCATCCACAAGATGCGAAGCAAAAACAGTGGCAAATATTTGCCGAGCGACAACAAATCATACATATTATGCCGAAAAATGTTTGTCACTCATTGGCTCATTGAATTTGCGGACTAGAACATAACTTGAATAATTTATTCCTATTGTGTAATGTGTTATGCAACACAGCGAGAGAGGATTAATGAAAGTGCTGAAGACGGATGTGCTTCATTTCGACCATTCTGCAGAAAAGTCGCAAATTAATTTCCTTTCCGTGCATTTTTACAAAATCCACAAAAATCGTAAATTAAATTGAGCTTCATTAAAAATTCACGACAAAATCAAATGATCAGTCATAAAAATGGTGCGAAAGAAGTGAGAGAAATGTTGTGATCATCAGCGCATAAAATCTAGCTTCTGTTTCAAAAAAAGCTTCGCGAGAAATCACAGATCATGACATTGAATTTATGAGTTAATCCAGATAATCAATTGGTTCACCAGTTAACACTGTCTAGTCTTGAAGCTCTTTCAGACAAGAATCTCGTCTGCCTTTCGTATCACACAATAGCGAATTGGAAAGTACGTAAAAGAAGATCAGTTCATCAATCCAATTGATAAGATAATTCTTGCTACAATGTACGTTATGACCTTCAATTTCAATTCTCAATAAACCGAAATTACCGAAATGCATTATCTTCTTTCACATAAGAAAGAAGCGCCGGAAATTCCCTTTGCCGGTGATTTTTTAAGCTCTTGAACAACAATAAAAGTCCAATTTTCACATGTATATGTATATAAATTATATTGTATTCAGTTTATAAAAATGTACAGTCTTTGTTGTGACATTCTTACAAAACTTAATTGTTCCAAAAGAATCCCAATTAATTTGTAAATGAATAGTTATTCATTTTATAAAAATGTACAGTCTTTGTTGTGACATTCTTACAAAACTCGAGTTGTGTTCCAAAAGAATCCCAATAAAATACTCATCTTGGCCACTTCGTGGCGAGTGTGGAGAGTATAACTACAGCAGAGGCACTTCGTCCTCATCTAAGGCACGTCCGTGCGACTTTTCTCGCCCTCCTGGCCCTGCGCCAGCGTCTCCTGCGAGTCTATGCTCAGATCGGCGGTGTCCTTGTCCTCGATTGGCTCTCTTCTGTTGCGGTTCAATCTGTGGGCAAAGCTAAAGCGGTTAGAGAGGAAATTGCCCTGCGAGGCAGGCCAGCATGCAAACCAGTCACCTTTCCTTCACTTTGAGGATGACGTAGAGCACGATGAGCGGCAGAGGCGTCATGATGGCCACGGCGACGGGCGCCACGGTGGTGAGATCTGCCTCTGGCTGCGGAAGCGTGAATCTGAGGAGGAAGATGGAGATGCCAGTGTTCTGGATGCCCGTCTCGACAGCGATGGCCAGCGCATCTGCCGGCACTTGGCGGAACACCTTGGCCAGCACGAATCCCAGCAGGAAGCCGAGCCACGGGAGTCCCAGTCCAGCCACAGCGATCTGCCAAGAGAACAACTCAAAGAGATAGAGATTGGTGACAATCGCGAATACCACGATGAAGAGGATGAGGAGGGTGGACACGGGCTTCAGCACCAGCACGAGAATCCTGGTCACGCGCGGCAGGTACTTCTGGATCAGCAGTCCAGCGAGGAGAGGCACCACCAGGGCGAGCGCAAACGTCCCGATGCGGCGGTAGGGAACAGTGAGCTCTCCCTGTTCGAAGATCGTTCTACCCAGAGTGAAGATCCACATGGGCATCAGGCCGAAGGCGGCCAGAGTGCTGATGGTCGTCATCAGCACTGACAGATTGATGTTGCCGTTCAGGATGGCCGTCCACACGTTGGACGCTCCACCCGCCGGAGATACTCCCGTGAAGAACATCCCGAGCTGCATGGCGTGCGAGTCCGGGAAGATGAGCTTGCCGAGGCCGAAGCTCAGCAGAGGCATCACGACGAACTGGCCGAAGACGCCAATGGCTGGTCCAACGGGACGCAGCACGATTGTCTTGAGCAGCTTCAAGTCCAGCGCGGCGCCGAAGTTGACGTAGAGAATGGACACGAGGATGGCCACGACGTACGTGAAGACGTGGTCAATCACTCGATCCTCCCGGATCACCGTGACTGTCAGCTTCTGGTCCGAGGACTCCTTGTCATTGGCCGTGGTCGTGATCTCCGCGAAGAGGTCAGTTTTGCCCAGGAACACGCCAGTCACGTTGAAGCTGCCACTCCACGCGCCGCCGACGATCTCTGATCCCGGGATGACTTTGTGCACTTCGGCCACGTGGCTCTCGGCCGTTTTCAGCACCACTTCCGTCACGCCGATGCTCTCCAGGCCGGACAGCTGCAGCCTCACCTCCTCGTCGCGCTGCATCTCCACGGTGACGACGTCGGGCGTGAAGCGCGCCGTCCACGTGGCGGCGTGGCTCACCAGGAAGATCGGCGCCAGGAAGACGGCCAGCAGCAGAAAGTACTTCATCGGGCACATGATGGCTCCGCTCCACCTGCCGAAAGTCACATACGTGTCAGATTGCGCGATAAAAGGCTCTTTCCACAATGAGAGATCACCTTTGATCAGAAGCGGGAGAGGTTCGAATGTGTTCCTCGGGAAGAGTATCTCCGGCGATATGAGACAATTTCGCGCGCGAGCGCCAATTTTATCCCTTGCCGGGTACATAAAATAACTCCGCGAATTCAATAGATACTCAATAGATATCTGTGAATTTCTTGAAAAGTCATTATTCGATAACGCGCCGCGCACATTATGTACAATTGATAAAGTCTCAAGATTAAGTGTTCTCAACTTTCTTGCCTATTGATGAACTACCGCGCTTAACAAGATAGTATTCAAGCCAGTACAGCTTATATTGGACTTTACCAATAATCTTCAGCTCAAGTCTTTTCTGCGGTCGTGCAGAAGATTTAATGCTGGAGAATCTTTCTGACCACGGAAAATACTAGTTTTAATTCCCACTTCAACGGTCAGCGCTTCAAATCACCGCCGCCCGCCGCTGTTTGTTAGCCTTCAGCCGCGGTAATGATGGAAATGTTTCACTATCTTATCAAATGATCTCCGGTGTCTCCTTATCACTCAGTATCATTAATCACAGCAATCTTTTAATTAGCAAAAGGAGCCAAAGAAATCCCGTCCGGACTCTAATTGGGTCATCGAAGATAAAGAGATATGGAAATGCTTCTCACCTGTTGCAGCAATGCGAAAGGAGTGCTGGAGATGATGAAATTTCAGGAGAACAGAAGATCCTTGTCACCCACACTCACCTTCCGGTATCAGTGAAGCCCGAGGGGAGGGAAAATGCCGGGAAAACCACAAAAGCACACTAAAAATGCAAGAAGAGCGGAAGAACGAGAAGTGAAAGCCGACTCAGAATGTGACAGGGAAGCCTGCCAATTCCCAGTCGTCACCAAGGGGTTCATCATCGAGGCGTATTTGAGGCCCGGAAAGGTGTTTTTCAATAAATTAAAGGTGTATTTATATCGTATTTATCAAAGTCGGAGAAAATGAACCCACGAGTGAATCACAACATCGGAAAAAATGCATCTAGAATCTGTCCTACTCCAGGCCGAGTAGCCAGTTGATCCCGTGGACGATGAGCAGGATGAACGGCTGCCACGCCACCAGCCACCGGATCCAGTCGAGGAGCTGTCCGTAGAGGACATGTGGCTTCTCCCAGGGATTGCGGAATATCCTCTTGAGGTCCACCTTCTCCTTGCAGTACGGACACGTCTGCTTCTTGCCCACAATGCACCATCCGCGGATGCAGAACTCGTGGAACACATGCTCGCAGCTCAGCTTGTACGTGTTCTCAATCACGCCGGACTCATTCTCAGCCACCAGCAGCTGATTCCCGCACACTGCGCACACGTTCGTCTCCAGGCTACGCGTCGGCATGCCATCAGGTGTGTAGTACTGCAAGACAAGGCAGGAAAGATCGTGAATTCTCTGAGTGGCGGGAAGATTCTTGGGTGTGATTTCCTCACTCCAATATGAGATGCCATCTTATCCGCACAAATTTCGGATATATCTCGTCCCAGGACACCGTAGTACAGCCCGTAGAACACGAACATCAGCCCACAATCCATCCAGACATGCGGCTTCTGGTCAAACACCATGTTCAGCCCGAAGAATGTCATCATCATGATGATGTAGCCAATGATTCCCAGCGCATAGCTCAGCTTGTAGATGAAGTAGAACCATTTGTACACCAATCTGCAAAGGACGTGGCAGTCTAATCAGGCTCACTGCTCATTCACTGTCCCCAGAGGAATCTCTCTCACCGTGGCGTTGTGCCGGAAATTGGCTTCACGAGCGCCTTCCGCATCACCAGACCAGTGAGAATGGTAAACACCACCCAAGTGAAGATGAATCTCCACCACTCATGCTTCACACACACTATCGGCGGAACTATCCACAAGCCTATCAGGGTGACGAGCTGGAAAAGTACCAAAAAGCCCTCTCAAATCATCATCTCCACTCCGGGGAGTTGCGCTGCTCACTCACGGAATAGGATTTGTAGTGGCGCTTCTTCCACTCGACCAGGACAATTTGCGCCACCACGAGTGTCACCAGGAGGATGAACACCATCTCTGCATGCATGGATTCATGGCCTTTGTGTTTCTCATGCAGCTTCATGTGCTCCAGTCGCATTTTCTCCTCCGAAGTCAGTTCATCGATTGACTGAAAAATTGGACAAACTTGTAAACAAAGTAGAATTACAATAATATCACGTCAACTTTACCTTATTTAAGTCCACAGGCTCGTGAAGGTTCATTTCTGCTATTGGAAATTCAGGAGATCAGCGGAAAATTTAGTGAAAATCTAAGATTTTCATGCACTTGTGGCATAAAACCACTCTGACTTCCCCTAACCTCAATTTGCTATCATATCAGCTGATGGGCGTAATGGCTGGCGTTTAGAATTTTGGCGCAATCAGCGCCAAAATGAGAATTCCAACCATTATTGGTAAATATACCATTGTTAATTACTGAAGCTTTTAATGACGTGCAGTGTGTGGTCCTGAAGAGAGAATGTGACAGGAATTGTGAGATTAGAAGCTCAATTGTGCTCATACAGTCATCATTTACAGAGGAAAAGCTGCGGAATGGAAGGCCCGAATTCGAAACGGAAGAGAAATGATCAGGGATCAAGTCTGGGATCTTCCTAAGATCATATTGTTCGCGCGGGGAAGAAAATGTGGTTATATCAGAAGAATCAGACGCTCTGCGACGTGGTGCTGATCGCTGGAGCTGATAATCAGAGGTGAGTTTGCAGTTTTCCACTGCCTTGGCTTCATGAAAATCTCATCCTGACCATTCTCTCACAGAATCCCTGCTCATCGTGTTGTTCCGTCAGCGGCTTCTGAATACTTCGAAGCAATGTTCACTGGCGAGTATAAGGAATCTCTGGACGAAGAAGTGACTCTGACCGAGATTCCGGAAGATGATCTTCGGCATCTGGTGCAGTTTTGCTACACAGGAGAAATAGAGCTGAGCGAGGAAATTTCTGAGGATTCCGTGTGCCTGGATTTTGCCTGGATTTGGTGATGGAAGCTTACGAGTGGATATTCATTCCGGAATGCCGAGCTGCGATGTCCAACGAAATGTCTCGTCGATTACGAAGGAGTGGAGCTTCTTGGCTCCCATGATGAAACATCGATCTTCTATTGGAGTAACAGCGACCAGAAATTTCATCCCAAGGCAGATTTGAGGACTATTGTGGCATCGCTCGATATTTCTGGTGCGATGAGAACTGTTCCTGTGGGAGATAAAATTCTGAACGATTCAATATCTTCACAGGTAATTAGAATTACAATTCGATTAAATCTTAGCTTGTATAATTTGCTTTTTTATCTGTCTTATGGAAAATTGTGCAATTTTATCCGGGAAACAATTCATCGCCTGTATTTGCTTCCTTAAATCAACCAAACAATATTACAACCGATATTTTGATGGCAATTTTTCACGATAACAACAACGATAACACATGAACCCTCGTAAATACCTAGAATTTCTAGAATGATAATAATAATTGAAATTATGAGAAATATTTGGGCACAAGAAATCTGGAATTGCAGCAGCGCGATATCGACAGCGATATATCGGAAAAGTCTAGGAAATACGAGATTTTCGCCCCGTTTCGCTCCATTCGCTGAAAATTTGAATCTACCGGCCATCGGCTAGTTGAGACACAAACCGCAATTCGGCTGAGTTCAACTAAGTTTTTCTCGTTTTTCTTATCACTATCACGAGATGCGCGCGGAGGAAAAACAAGACCTCTCCGCGGATCAATGGCAACCGCCAGACACCAAGCGCATGCACTTCCGCCGCAATTAACAAAACTCTCGGGATTCACCACAATTAACTTTATTCACAAATAGCACAGTTTTTCTCTCTCAAAAAGTTGTGATATTGATAAGCGGATGAATAATATATTGAGCTAGCCTAAATATGTTTGGGTATTTACAAAAGACAAAAAAGAGTAATATGCACAAATTGCTCTCCTCCGCTGCCGCTTCCTGTCGCGCGCGACCTTCGCGAATTGTTGGCAGTGCTGCTCGTCTGGCTCCTGGCGAGCGCGCGCGCTCAGTCGCGGGGCTCGTGCGGGGCGGGCAGCTTCTCCCAGGTCGGCTCGCAGCCCCAGATCTCCGTGGCGTAGTCGTAGATGGTGCGGTCGCTGGAGAACTTTCCGCTGGACGCAATGTTGTGAATGGCCATTTCGAGCCACTTCGATTGATTCTGCAAAGACAAGCAAGATTCCAATCGTGATCACTTAACCCTCTAACGACCTCTGAGTTGTTTTCGATCCGCGCATTTCCTTTGCAACATTCCGAACAAAGGCGCATAACCAAGATAACACAGATAACTTATGAGATGGTTCAGGGCAAGGCGGAGATGTTATGGTTAAATGCTTCATTTTTAACTAATTGATGCAGATTAGTTTGCTTAGGAACCGTAGGAAAATCAATCTCAGCGCTTTTCCAAGGAGGAATAATCAAATGACATCAATTATGGCGCCTAAATAGAAGATTTTACACTTATTTTAAGAGTTATTTTGATCCATTTTCCACTAAAAAACCGTAAAAGATCATCGAATTTCCGTTCATTTCCAAATTTTAGCCCAAAAAGCACGCCTAGAATTGAGTTTTGAAGATTCTAAACAAGATTTTTAAATATTTCTCAGTGTCATTTAAGATTGCAGATCAAGAGAGTTGCAAGAAGTCATTTTTTGAAGCCTTCCTGGCCAATTGTGACCAATTACTTCCTCCCTGACTTAGGGAGCAAAAGATCAGGGATTGTCAGCGCTGGTCTGTGGAGACTCACCTTGTAGGTTTTCGAGACGAGATCCTGCGTCTTCATGTATGACTCGAAGTCGGCGAAGAGATAGTAGCGATCGTACTTGAGCAGCACGTCCGCCAGATCCTTGAACTCGTGCGGATTGCTGGGGCTGAAGAAGCCGCCCTGGATCTGGTCCACGCACTGCTTGATGTCGGGATTGCTGTTGTAGTAGTCGTAGGCGTTGTAGCCGCGCTTCTTCAGCTCCTCCACCTCCTCCACGGTCATGCCGAAGATGAAGATGTTGTCGTTGCCCATCTCCTCGGCCATCTCCACATTGGCGCCGTCCAGCGTGCCGACGGTGAGCGCGCCGTTCAGCATGAACTTCATGTTGCCCGTGCCGGAGGCCTCGGTGCCGGCCGTGGAGATCTGCTGCGACAGATCCGCCGCCGGCATGATCTTCTCCGCCAGCGTGACGCGATAGTTCTCCAGGAAGATCACCTTGAGCTTGTCGCCCACGATGGGATCGTTGTTGACCACGTTCGCCACGGCGCAGATCAGCTGGATGATCTTCTTGGCGATGTAGTAGCCCGGCGCCGCCTTGCCGCCGATCATCACTGTCCTGGGCACGAAGGCGGCCGTGGGATCGCGCTTGATGCGATTGTACAGCGTGATGATGTGCAGGCAGTTGAGCAGCTGGCGCTTGTACTCGTGGATGCGCTTCACCTGGATGTCGAACATGCTGGCGGGATTGACCTTCACGCCGTACTCCTTCTCCAGGATCTGCGCCAGCTTCAGCTTGTTCTCCTGCTTCACCTGCGCCACGTCGCGCTGGAAGTTGGGATCCTTGGCCCACTTCTTCAGCGCCACCAGCTGGTTCAAGTGCACCGGCCACTCGTCGCCGATCTTCTGCGAGATGAGATCGGCCAGGCCGGGATTGCACAGCAGCAGCCAGCGCCGTGGCGTGATGCCGTTGGTCTTGTTCTGGAACTTCTCGGGGCTCATCTCGTAGAAGAGCCTGAAGAGGTCCGCCTTGAGGATGTCCGAGTGGATCTGCGCCACGCCGTTGACCGCGTGCGAGCCCACGATGGACAGATGCGCCATGTTCACGCGCTTCTCGCCCTCCTCCTCGATCAGCGACATCCGCCGCATGCGCTCCATGTCGCCGGGATAGCGCTTCTCCACCTCCTGCAGGTGCAGGAAGTTGATGTGGTAGATGATCTGCAGGTGGCGCGGCAGGATGCTCTCCAGCATGGACACCGGCCAGCGCTCCAGCGCCTCCGGCAGGACGGTGTGGTTGGTGTAGGCGCACGTGCGCACGGTGATCTCCCAGGCCTTCTCCCACGACAGCCCCTCCACGTCCACCAGGATGCGCATGAGCTCGGGAATGGCCAGCGACGGGTGCGTGTCGTTCAGCTGGATGGCCACCTTCTCCGGGAAGGCGTCGAAGTTGGTCCGCACGGCCGCCCTGGAGCCGAACTTGGACGACTTGTAGCGCCTGATGATGTCCTGCAGCGTGGCGGCCACCATGAAGTACTCCTGCTTCAGCCGCAGCTCCTTGCCCTCGAAGAAGTTGTCGTTCGGATAGAGGACGCGGCTGATGTTCTCCGCCAGATTGCGGTCCAGCACGGCCTGGATGTAGTCGCCGTCGTTGAAGAACTTCAGGTTGAAGTCGATGGGACTCTTGGCCGACCACAGGCGCAGCGTATTCACCACGTTGTTGTTGTATCCTGGGATGGGATTGTCGTACGGCATGGCGAACACTGTCTGCGTGTCCACCCACTTCTTCTTCCCGTTCGGCTCGTCCACCACGCGGCCGTAGAAGTAGATCGGGATCATGTACTCCGGACGCGCCTTTTCCCACGGATTCCCGAAGCGCAGCCAGTCGTCGGGCTCCTCCACTTGCTCGCCGTTCTTGATCTTCTGCGCAAAAATGCCGTATTCATAGCGAATTCCTGGAAAATAGAGCAGACAAATTAATAAATATTGTATTAAGTTCCTTATAAGAAGTTTTTTTTTCATTAGAATCGACTTAAACCTCAAAAATATAAAAAGAGATCTTCAAAGACTCCTTTTGAAAGTTTTCAAGATCACAGAATAAATCTCTAAATTCAAAACTGCTCATTCAGAGTCAAAATTGCTAAGAAAGTTATCTAAAAAACCATTTTCCAGATTTTCCACGTCCAAATGACTATTTTTTGAGGTTATGTTGCAGTATCTTACGATTAGAAGTGTTTCTTTGCACAAAATGTACAGAAAAGCTTGAGAAAAGCAATAATTATTGCATGTAAATACTTAATTCTACACATGATTAGCAATATCTGCGGTTTGAGCTTGAGATTTAATGTGAATTATTCACTAAATCTATTCTTGATGCGTTACATAACCTAGAAAAAGATTATTGTGCTTATTTCTACCCAAAAATTAAAAGAAATCCAACAACTCCAAAGAATTGGAATAATTTGGCATTGAAAGAAGCACTCAAGGAAGGAAAATTGTAAGTTTTTGAACACTTTCCACTTCTTAAGTACTTCGGCTGAGCTGTACACCACTTCGGACTATTATCTTCCCCTTGACTATTCCTTAATTCGACTTGTACTTGAATTTCTAGCCTGTTAAGATGCAAAATTGGAAGATAATTGAAAAGCTCTTTATATGCAAAAGACTCTGTTTTTGATGCAAGACAACTTTTCAAGTCAATTTGCCATTAACATTCAGCGTTTGATGCTCAAGAATGCCAAAGAAAAGCGTCAATTAGGGCTGATTTGGGGATCGTGACTAACCATATCCGTAGGCAGCCAGTCCCAGGGTTGCCATGGAGTCCAGGAAGCACGCCGCCAGGCGACCGAGGCCGCCGTTTCCCAGGCCGGCGTCTTCCTCCAGCTCCTCCAGCTCCTCAATGTCCAGGCCCAGTTGGTACATCGCCTCGTCGCAGGCGCCCTGCAGTCCCAGATTGATCATGGTGTTCTGCAGGGACCTGCCCATGTAGTACTCCAAGGAGAGGTAGTAGACTCTCTGCAAGCAAACACAATGTTGCCGATGAGCTTAAAATAAACACAAATCTCAAGCGCTCTTGCCAAGGAGTTCGTCAACCCAGAGAGAGAAGAAAAAAGCTCTGAAAAACACGCAAATTGAGTGTATTTTCCAAAATTGTTTCGATTGTTTCTCAATTTCTCGCCGCGTGACCTCTTGATAACCCGCACGGTCAGTGTTATTTTTCAAACGCCTCCCTCCTCATCTCGCGACACTCGCGCAAGAGTGGGATTGTACTGGCGATGTGTGACCTGGAATTGGCGTCTTTGGCCAGCCAATTGCTGCAGTGCCGAAGGACAACCACTTATCATTTGACGAGGCTTTGACGGAGAGAGAGACACTTTCTGCCCATTTGCATTTGATAATCTCGCTCCTGGTCAGTCAATCGCCTCTTGGCTTTTTCCAGAACTCCCTGACACTCACTTTGAGAGCTTTTTGTTTCACTCTCGCTTTTATCAAATCCTCATTATAACTGCACTTTTTGAGCAGCGCCAGACAAAATTGCCCGACAAAGAGCCGTTTTAATTATAGAAAAGAGAGATCATCTCTCGTCGTGTGACATAAGTTTGAAATGCATCAACTTCAGCTCCTGGATGAACTGAGGAATGAGAAGTCAATTGACGGTGTGTTTTGAGTAGCATAAAATAAGGTCAAGAGATAATATTTCACTTATCTTGGGGGGTTTTATAAGCCTTCTGAGGCGCTTGTGAGGGAAAATTTGCAGCACAACAAATACCGCCTTAGGGCAATATTTGGTTGAATTTTATATCGACACGCACTGAAGGAGGAAATCGTGTCGATGATAAGATAATTTCTCACATTAGTTTATCTCTCGCGAAACTCTGAGATTCATCCGCATCCACACACTTTCTTCTCGACCTTTGCTGACCTTGGCGGGAATGTCGGGGGCGATTCCTCGGAGCGCGCTCCTCCTCACGGTGGGGACTTGGGAGCGCCTGGCGGCGACTTAATAATAACCCCGCGAGCGGGCGCCGAGAGCCGGCCAGAGAGAGACTCACCTTGGGGTCCTTCTCGTAGTAGTACTGCTGCGTGCGGATCCATCGGCTCACCAGGTTGTCCTTGACACAGTGCGCCAGGGCGAAGTAGTAGTCCCTCGGCGTGGACACGTTCCTGTCCTTCACCAGGGTGTAGTGCAGGTGGCGATTGAAGTTCTTCTTCACCTCGGACACATTCTCCACTTGCGCGATGCCGCGGACGCTGATCTGCTTCCGCTTCTCACTGTCTGTCTGGGGCTTCGACATCTTCACTCCGGCGGCTGGAGAGTCACTGGAGAGTAGTCAAGAGCGATCACCACGGTATTCCAACACAGAATGAAGCCTCCGAGCCTCAGAGCGCTCTAATCTCGGTCACCTTGCCGGAAGGTCAGGCGTGCGCGCTGGCTCGGGGAGCACTGACACTTCGCTGTGACGGATCCGCACCGGGCCTGCCGCCCATGCCCAGTCTGCCCGCTTGCCGGCGCCAGCGCGGCCCAAGGAGGAGATATTCCCGCCCAATTGGGCTCTTGCGGCTCTTGAGGAATTGCGACACTCTCTTGTCGAATCAAATTTTGCAAATATGTGGCGAAATTTTGAGGTAAATAAATTTAGGAAATTCAAAGGATTGCGAGGATGACAGTAACAATCTAAAAATCAGTGATTTTAAGTAAGATATCCTGCCATTTTCCACTCAATCATCCTCAAAAACCAACTGATAACTTCAGTTAATGGAGTTAATGTCTGTTATCAGCTTATATTGTTCTGTAAAGTTTCACCCTCAGTGCTGCCTCTATTGTCAAATAATGCTAACAGCGAGAATCTCGTCAGAAGGAGAAGGCCGCCGTGACAGTGGCATTCCCGCCACAAGTTCTCCAGGGACACCAATTGGGCAGAGTTGGGTGTTTTTTCGGTTGGTATAGGGAATTTAATTCACATATGCTTGAAAAACAACAGGACAACTGGATTAGAAATGATCAAAACTGGCTCAAACGATGGAAAATATTCTTGTTTAAGTGCGAGAATTGATGTTTTAGATATTATCCAGTCACTAAAGATCAGAAATGATGCAACGAAAGTTGCAGTTTCGCGTCAGTTTGTTGAAATACTGCAATTATTTAAACACTTCCTGACCCTTCAATTGAGCTGCACCACGATAATATCTCCCCCTTGGCAGTCAGACTTTTCAGCGCACATTTCGCACGCAGAGTGAGAGAAAGATTGGGTTATTTAAGAAGCCAACTGTTAATAAATTTTATTAAATAAAATGTTTTGTATTACACTTTTTTTCTGCTTTACCATAATTCTCCTCTCGTCACTTTTCATCCTATGAAAATGATGTTGATCTCTTCGCAAAAAAAAAACCTCCTTAATCTCACGGTATTAGACGAAAAAACGTTTTACATCGATCTGCAGCTATTTCATTGCAAAAGAAAATCATGCAAAAATCTCTTATCAATTTCCTCCTTTCCACTTTTTTTTTCTTCCTCTCCTTTTTACCTTTAAAAATATCCTCGCGTCGACTTTCTACCCAAAAAGTTCTATGCAATTGTGAGAGACTGAGTGAGACGATCTCTCATCCTTTTTCATCATCATCATAACACACAAATTACAATAATTAAGTTCTTAAGTAATGCCTTTAATCATTAAGCTTATGTTTTCTTCACTTCATCTTAATTTACTCTAATATACTTTTCTCTCTGCATTTTTTTTTTATAAGTAATAATTTTTTACGCTTGGTCACATTTCAAATAGCTGATTAACTTTTTTTTTCTTTACTTCATCGTCGTTTTTTTTTAGCATTTTCCTTGCTTCAGAATATTTTTTGCACACCCAATTTTTTTTAGTCATTTTTCTTTTATACCAATTTCTATACAAATCTTTTACTTTGCAGCATTTTTTCACGCAGTTTTTTTTTTTAATTCTCTCACCACAATTAAATTATTTTCCTTATTTTCTCTCACTTTTTTTTTCTTAGTACGGATTGAGATTCGGGCAAATATTATCTCAGCACTCGCGTTTTATTGCGATGCGCGAAATATTATTTATATTAAAAAACTCTCACAAAGAATAGTAATAAAAAACTAAAGAAATCTTTTCTTTTCATTTTTTTACTCATTAAACATCTAACGCTGATTTTTTACGGTAGCCTTTAATAATTCTTTTCACTTTTTTCTCCTCCAATAAAATTCCTTTGCTTTCACGAAAAAGAAAAAAATATATCAATATTATTGTTTACACTCATATTTTCTTCACTTACAGTAATAATAATAATTAATTTATGTGTTTGTTTTGTGATATTTTCATTCACTAATAAGAAAGGCATTGTAGTTTTTTTTTCTCACATATTTTTCTCTCTGAAAGTTCAAGAGGTGTTTTTTTTTTATCTTAATATTTTGTGGGAGGGAAAAATGAGAAAATGTGTTGAGAATTAAGTTTAAAAAATAAACTGAAAAACACCGACTTTGTATTTAATTCATTGATGAGCCACAATTACTTATTCAATTCTTCAAACGTGATTATTGATTAGGTATATTTCTTCATTTTCTCTAAATATTTCTTCCACTGCTTTTGTCATAGAATTTCACCCACTTTTACAATCTTTTTCTCGCACAGTTTTTTTTGTATATTAATATATCCATTAAAATGTGCAGTGAAACAGGTAAAAAGAATTAATTATTCATATAAGCAACACGAGCAACACTCTCAATGTCTTGAAAAATTTTGCCTTTTATACTATTTTTTTTTTATTGAGAGGAGTGAAAAAGAAATCATAGGATTTTTGACAAAGAAAGCAATTCTTCTCACTACAAAATTACAGGTGAAATTAATTAATTAATAATAATTTGGGTAGGGAAAAAGTCCTAAAAATTGATCGAGAAAAGTAGAAAAGAAATCATATTTACAATTTTTTTTAGTTGTTTCTTCGCATTTTTTTTGTTTCAAGAAAGTTTTGCAATATTTACAAGTAATATCAGTAATTTTTTTTTATTTCCTTTTTCATCAATTACAATTACTATTAAAATGTGAGTCGACTTAGTAACATAAATATATCTCATTAATTTATTTATATATACCATAAATATTTAGATTTTACTGTTTCTCTTTTCCCTTCTCTTCATTAAATATTGTGTTCTTCATGATAAAGTTTTCTCTTCTTTTCTCCTCCACTGATATTTTTAGTGTTATTTTTCTTTATATCTTCTCATTATTTAATTCTTCTCTAACAATGAAATTTTTATTTTTTTCTTTCTTTTCATTAGATCAACAGAAAATGTGACTATTTCGCAAAAAAAATGTATTTCAATGATTATTTCCATTTTTTTTATACTATTAATTCCCAAAAAGTTTGTCCTCAAATTTCAAATATATTTCACTTATCTATCAAAAACTTCTCTTCATTTTATATATTCATCTGACGAATTTATACCGTTATCTTCGCTATCAATATAAAAACATAAAACGACAGAATAATTATGGTATATGATTTTATATCATGTGACTTCTCTGAGAAAGCAAGATGCGAGAGATTGTTGTTTTTTTGAAAATTGCATTGATTTCCCCTCACATAATTTACTTATCCTTATCACTCTCGGTTTTCTTTCCAATCGGGACAGCTGCTTTAGCCCTTTTTTTTTGTTCAGCCATGGTTGAAAAAAGAATGGACAAATTGAGTAATTTAGCCATGAAATGCCAAGGAAAAAGTCACTCACGATTTTTCAGACCATTAATTTTGCGATGATTCAATAATTTTTTGATTTTTTTTAATACAAATTTCCATTATTTTGTTTTATTAATATCACAAAATATTTAAGTGTTTGATAATTTTCTGAATATTTTATCAAAACTTAAATATTTCGCTATTTTATTTTATTAAAATTAAAATCTTTGATTATTTTCTGAATATTTTATTAAAATTAAAATCTTTGATTATTTTCTCCTCATATTTCCGCCAGAGGGCAGAAATTTAAACTTTAACGTCATGTTGAAGTTCCGATTATATTTCCGCCTAATTTTACGTATTCAAATCCAGTTTGTGGCGGAATTTTATGACTTTTTTCGCTATTTAATTTTAAATCTTTATTAGATATTCTAAAAAAAAATATTGAAATATAATAAAATTTATCGAATTATAATAATTTTTGATTATTTTTATTATTTAAATTATTTGATTCAGATCACTAAGATTCCTCAAAAATCGCTTTGTGACTTTTCCCTTGTTGAAATGCTGAAATAATGGGATTGTTTCTACTCACTTGTCGGTGATTTCTATCACTTTACTCCTGACTAGATCCAGATAAGCATCGATCGATTGCTTGTTGTTCTCATACACTTTCGGCAGAGTAAACAGAGCCACGAAGACTGCAAGAAGAGAATTCAATTGCTTAGTTTTCACAGAGAAAGCACTTTTCTTTGTGCCGGTGAAATTCCTTACGGATGATCACGATGGACATGCCATTGAACCACGAGCCCACGTAAGTGAGACACCAGAGCAGCAGAGCAAACTTAATCGAGTCCACGAGATCTTCCACCAGGAAGAGACGACGAAGCTCCACAATCACTGAATTCACGTGAGTCACGCCCACATTGACAGCCTGCTGAACCTTGTCCTGAGGCAGCGTGAGGTCAGTTTCCAAGATGGATCTGCAAAAGGAATCAAGCAGTAATTATCATCTTCATCTCTTTTTTGATGTTACATTTTGCCGGTCAATTTCTCTCAGTGAACATGACTTTTCTCTGTCATTGAACACTTTCTTAGTCGCGCTTCATTGATATTTATTGTGATTATTATTATTTTATATGCAAATGTGTTAAATTGAAGTGGACGAAATTTGATCCAATGATGTCGTCAGCAGAGAAACGCCACACAGAGATTCTTCTTATTTTTCAACATTGACAAATAGAAAGAGTCTTGCAAGAAACTCACTTGAAGGGATGTCCTTCTGACGTCTTCTGCACGGCTTGCAGGACATTTTTGTAGATTGTGAAGACAATGGTGCCCAGGAGAACGGTCAGCGAGAGATAGGCGAAGACACTGATGACAGAGAAGCAGACCATGGCCAGGAGAACGGCCAATCCGGCTCCGAACACCGCGCCAGACTTCTTCGGGTCGCGCCAGTAGATGAGAGATTCCACTGCAAAGGATCCAAAGGACAGAGACACATTAAGACACCCAAAATCACAGTCAATGCAACTGCTTTAATCCCTACTTCTTGCAATTGACTCAATTTCACAAGCCACAAATCACAGTGAAAAACCCGCTCTGGTGTGTGAGGAAAATTCACAATGAAAATGATCTTGTGCGCAGGACAAGTTATAGTTTTTCTTCGTATTTTCTCTCTCTCTCTCTCTCTCGCGCTCCTCAATTGTGACAAACTCCACTTTTCATCTATGAAAACCACCCAAAATGAAGAAAAAAATTCCTCCGAAAAAGCACACAATTTTCATGTGTGACGAAAGATTAAAGAATAAAAGAAATACTTGTGCTTATTGTTGTTCTATTTTCCGCACTTCTTTTTCTCTTCTTCACCGTCTTCTAATCTCCTTCTCTCAACACACCGTGCGCACTTTTATGTGATAATTTTTTTCAATTTAATTGTCTCTTTTCTCTCTCGCGCGCATTGACCAGAAATTCTTTGGGGCGGAATTTTCTCTCAACAAACACAGAGAGAGAGAGTGTGGAAGAAGAAGAAATGTCTTCTTCACACTCTGATGATGATATTATGTCACAAGAGAAAATTTATTGGAAAGTGTATGGATGAGAGAAAAATATTTTTTCACACACAAACACAGGAAATTCAGAAGAAGCGCCACTAAAATCCCAAATTGAAATTCATCATTTTGAAAAATGCGCTTGACGGTGTGTTTGTGACTTTTCTGCCATCGTCAGTCTTTTTGGGAAAGTTGGAAAATTCACTCTCGCTCTCAGAGTGTCTTTTCCACATTCTCTCTCTCTTTCTCTCTGTGTGTCTTGAGTGTAATTTTCTCAAGTGTGTGCGGCTCTTAAGAATAAAAATAAATTTTCACACACTGAAATTTTGACTCTCGCAGTGGAAAATTGCGGTGAAATATCAAGCATTTTGATTCACTCTCTAATTTTCCACCAATTGACTTTATTTTTGTCTCTTATTTATGAACTTTCTAACACAAAATCGAGGCAGAAAAATGATGATATTTTGGACAAAAACTCAGCAATATTCTCAACAACAATCAAAAACCCAATAAATGCACTTTTCAATGCAAAATCCCACATTTTCCACATCAGCAAAAACCACTGATAGTCTCAAAGTGAATTGATAAACCTCCGCGAAGGCCACGAAACGTGTTCAAAGTGACAGAGCGAGAGAGCGAGAGAGAGAGAGAGAGCGAGATTGAAAGTATTGTCCACGTGTCTTGTTGCGGAAAAAACCTCTGCAATTGTGAAATGGATAAGAATTGATCTTCAATTCTAAAATCGAGTGCATTTCGTGGCATTTGCCGCGAGGGGTTCTTAAATAATTCCACGTGTGATCAATTATGCAGCACTTTGTGGAGGCAAAAAAGCGCCACGAAGTCGACTTCATGACACGATGAGGATCGATTTTTTGTACCAAGAAAGAGTGTTTCATTTCAGGGATAAATTGTCCAGTTCTCCCCACCGCATTCAATTTAATATTCCTGCAGACAATTTGTGCGTGTTTGCTGGCCTTTTCCGCCCACCCTTTGTCACTATTTTCCACCGCACATTTTCACCCCCCCCCTCGTCTTGTGTGTCGGCGGTGGAAAAGCCAACTTTCTGACCACCACGAGAGAGAAACTGTTGCCGTGAGAGAGAGTGAATGGAGAAGTGTTGATACCAGACAAAAATATGACACGTTTGCAAATGAGAAACACACTCACAGAGAGAAAAATGTTGAGCACATTCTCTTGAACATTTTCAACGAAAATTTTCCTGCATTGCGCCGATTTTACGGATGTAATTCAACAAAGTGTGTGTCCACACTGAAAATAGCCACAATTCACCATCATCGGTGCTTGCCAGGAGAGATTTCCCAATTGCAATTGTCAATCGTCCAGATAAAGAGAGAGATTTCAATGACCCATGAGTTTAATATACAATTTTCCACATACTTGGACCACGTTCAGGAAGGAATTCCTTGTGATTTCCATTAGTATATCGCGTATTAACATTCTTTCGCACCATTTTTCTAGCCCTTAAACACTTCTCACGTCTTTTCTAGGTTTCAAAGAATCAACCACTGGAGAATTGTGTCAAATTCACTCTAGTAGAAATGCTCCTCAACTCCAACAACCACACAATATCAAAGTCTGCGCGCACGCCAATTGGAACGTCACGAAGAGATCTGGGCCTCTTCTTTCACTGTATTGCGCGGCCCCAAAAAGAGAGACACCCAGCGATGGCCACGAATGCCACGAAGAGTTTTTGGAGTCACAGCTCTGGAGTTCCGACAACTCACACCAACAATTCCCGATCGCCGACTCGACAGCGGAGATCACAGACTTGTGAATGGAGCCACGCAACGTCTCTCTCTCTCTCCAGCTTGACTTTCATTGCGTACTTTTTCCTCGAGTGGGGCTCTCAACACTCGCGCCCAGAGATTACGCCAAAGCCCCCCCCCAAACAATCAACGTGTTCACACCAACGCGACACTTTCGCGAGCTGCAATTTGCACATGCAAAATCAGCACTTTTTGGAGTTCACGGACATCTCGCGACTCGCCAAGAGATAACGAAGAAAATTGTGATTCAAGGCGCAGCGATTTCATTGCGCTGTTTGTACACAAATGCTGTTCTTCACTGTCTTTCCCATTAAAAAAAAAAGTGTTCGACTCACAATTGGCGCCATAAATTGATTTACAGACATAGTTTAAGTGTTAAATTCTTCACAAAGAGCAATAAAAATCTAAATGGACAGAACAGAAATAGAAGTGGAATCACTGTTTTTCTTGATAAGAACCTACAAAAAACGCTTGAATTAAGACAATTTCTTTTCACAAATTACCAATTTACCAATTTAGAAGCATACAAAATACCCATTAATGATCGCAAAATTTCAATTCCGGTGAAAATAATTGAAAATCCACACGCTTTTTTTGCTCATAAATATTTTGTCCAACAAATCGTGTTCATTTCTCTCTTAAATTTCAATTTAGTTTCCCATTATTTTATAAACCATTAAATGTGTGTCTCATAAACTATTTTTTTTTCGCACATTCTACAATGTAATTTTTTTCACTCTGTGTCTGACAAATATTACCAACAACACCGAAATTTAGGGAAATAATTATAATCTGAGTGAATTTCTCACATGTCACATGAAAATAACACACCTTAATTATATTTTTACACCACTTTTGATGATTATTTTAAGGCATGTATGAATTGAGAGAAAGAGAGCAAAATCGTCATCATCTGCCCATGGGCAGAAGAATATTCTCTCTGTGAAATTTAATTAACACTGACCGTATGTTCGCGAAACCGTGGCAAGTTTACAAGGCACACGTCTTGCAAATTGCATCATAATTCGGTAGTCTTTTCATAAATATCTTCTCTTTTTCTTTTCCACCTCAGTTGCACATTGAAACGCTGTGCAATTAATTATTCATTGAATTTTATTACAGCACATCTTCTCTCGAGAGAGAGAAGACTCTTCAATTGAATTGATGAGGAGGAGAAAATACTTGTGGGAGTGCAGAAATTTAATTAGAGCCCTCTTTCTGCTACATAAACCAGGCTAAGTGTTTGGATTTTTCTAACTTCAATACAATATTTAATTGATTTTTCACTATCTCTAGAGTGTGAGGATTATTGTGGATGATGAAAAATTAGAGTCAAACACACACACACACGCCCCAAAGGTTCTTTTCCATGCACTCAATTCACCTTTAAACATTTCCCCACAAATATATCGCGCGCGCGCGGATTGATAAGAAGAAAGATTGCTGACAAAGTGTGTTAAATCTTTGGGGGGAGGAATTCCTTGTCGTCAACTTACGCTCTTCTCTGCTAAAATCGTACTTCAAATTGAGCAATTCCTGCAGGAGATCCATTGCCAAATCCTTCTTTTCAGCCTCAAACACTATAAAATTCTCTCACTCAATCAATTTCAACTTCCAACTGAACTTTAACTTTGACGCAAGAGGGAAAAAAGGGCATAAGTCTCTTCGCGTTTGCCTTTTTATAAATAGATCAACATTATTTCTAATTGCAAAAAGGCCGTATTGGCAGTAAATTTGGCTCAACTTCTCTTTAGGCACACTTTGCTAGTGAAATTATCTCACAAATTCCCAAAGCACTTTTCCCTGCACTTTCACGCGTCTGGACAATATCTTCACTCCGTCGTCAGTCGGAATTCCTGCATTCACACTCAAATCCAATATGGAATATATATATCTCGAGTGATGAACTTCAAATTGGATCCTCCTCTCAATATTCACAGTGAGTCTGGCGTTCGCGCTCGCTTCCCGGGGCCAGAGACTTCGTGGTTGTGGCTGTCACGTCGCGACTGAAAGCCACTTCTCGCTATACCTAATAATAATCAAAAGGCACGACATTACATAGCTTAGCACACTACACGTACTTTTCCCTCTAATCATCACCCCAAGGAGACAAATTGTTAGCGCTGGGGAAAATTGTGGGAAATTTTCGAAAGATTTCCCAAGTGACACAAGGATGATCAGACTGGAAAATGTGACAGTTAATTTTGTACATTTTCAAGTCACGGCTGTGGTGAAAAATTGGTCATCCGATGACTGCCAAATAACAGTCATGCGTCACGTGTTTTCTGTGCCGTTCGCTGAAGTCTCCTAAGCGCATGAAGCGCCACCACGCGCCACCATCTCGAACGCATTTCGAGGAAATCACATGAAAACTTTTAATATGCTATTAATTAGAGCTTCTGGCATCGATTTACCGAGTTCTCGGATATTATTATTGGTGAAAACACAGCTTTTGTCATTGGACAATTGTTTTAGGTCATCTCTTTCTTCCCCACGCGAATCGTGTATTTTCCTTCCTGCTCACGACATTTCTATGTCGAGTGTGTGGCTGCAGATTTTACGTTGGGCAACCCGCGCTGAATTTGACTTTGACGTGTCTGACAATGCGCTTGCTGTCAAAATGGTCAAAATAGACCAATTTCATATGGAAAATCGAGAAAATCGTCAATGAAATGAATTTATATTGTGGAAAAAACTCAAAAATTTAATGATTTCGTCCATAATGAGCCATAATTGTGGAGAAAATCAGATTGTGTAAAGGCGCCAAAAGTTGATCTGCAGACCAAAATTCTGAAGGGAATCTGACGGGACCGAGCCGAGATGGTATGAGCAAAATGCTGTGTTTTCACCATATGAATTATCAGTTTCATTGGCATGATCAAAACTCTAATTCCTCGGTCACCCTGGAAAAATCCTGCGGAAAAGCATAAGTATCTCACGCGTGAAATGCAGAGAAACGCGCCTGTTAGTTAGCGATTTTACGCAATTTGCCATTTATTGAAAATGCATAATCTAAAATGGTTTTAAAGACACATTTCAGCCCAGAACGGTGCCAAACAGAGCTCGAATGTCATCTTCGGGGACGATCGTGTGTGCTAGTTCCCGGTCGGAATCGAGTCGCATGAGTATTCTATGTGACCGACAAATAACCCAGAACCGACCAATTTTCGGGCATCTATTTGTAGTAGTTCTCGACTTTAGGGTATAAATGCTAAAAGCCAATAGACGGTCAGATAGAATGCTATTTCATCTCGCCGTGTTTCTTAGGTTGTAGATCATGAATTTATGCTTTAAATTAATATTCTAATAAACCTACCTTCAACCATTTTCTACTATTAATTAGGTGAAACCTTTTATGCTTGTGCAACATGCAACAGATGGCGCTTTAACAGATTTACAATTGCACGATTTACGCTAATTTGCCTAAAACACTAATTTAGCCTGTTTTAAGTCAATTTACTGGTGATTTTTAAGTAATAATGTTGGCATTTTCTTCACTATAGCAAATCTTTTCTATGTGGTTCTAATGAAAAAATTTTCAATACCTAACTTTTCCGGCAATTTTCAACCATCATTGTCTACGTAATTTTCCTCGTCGTCCACCGTGAGAACGATGTGAAGTAACCGAAATTCAATTTGTCCGTTGTATCTCATTCACTCTCATTCATTTTCCTACATTTTTTTTTAAATAGACTTTTGCAAAGTCGGAGGGGATAAAACTAAACATTTATTGTCTTACAACATGAAGCAAAGTCACGAGAATTTCCCAGTCTGAGTTTGACCCCTTCGACTATGAAACTTTGACGATTCCAATCATCATTTCTCTCTCTCTCTCTTTTTCTTTCTGTGATTTTATCAGGGATTTTCACGCACGCTATCAATCATTGAAGCGCAATTTTTTCTTACTAATCATCGCATTCTTCATTTTTGTCATAATATTTCTCTTTCTTTGCCGGTGTGAATGCAATTTTTCAATGTATGCCTCTTCCTTACGTCATTCACGCCAATCTTTTTGTTCCACATAAGAAGCCAAATACCCGGACCACGATTGTCTCTGTGAGGCTATCGAAAGTGTCTAAAATTAGTATGAACTCAGCATTGCGAGCGCAAGAGGCGAAGGAACGAGAAATACGGACATTAAATTTGAAAATGGCAATAAATGACTTATTCAACTCTCAACACTTCACCGCGCAATTATACATCCGACGAAGGTCTTCTGCAGACCTTCCACACCACTCTTAATTCATTCAAATTGCCACCCTCAGTGCAGTGCTTATCATATTGTTAAGAAGAAGTGCTTCTGTGTGTGTGTGTGTGAGTTATTTTTCGAGAAAAGGCATTAAAATTTCCCGCTAGAAGAAGAAGCGCAAGTAAACATTAACCCCAATTTTCTTACCTCGTGGATGCAAGCGTTCAGGCTTAAACCATGTATCTGCAAAGGGAGAGATAATTTATAGCATTTGGTTAGTGTTAAAAAGCACAGATAGATGAAGAGGCATTACATGAAGCGAAGATGAAAGAATGGTACAAAAAGCATCAGGTAGATTTGAAGCAATGGTTAATAATTTTTTTTAAAGATATATTCATGCATTTTAGGTGTATTATATTCATATATGTACAACAAAGAAGTATCAATTTTTCCTGCTGCTTGGCAATGTCAAGAATATATTGTTACAAGTTCATCCCGAAGAATAAACACTGGTGCTGAAATTCTATCCTATTCTATGAAAAATACTCAAAACAATTCTCTCACTGTTGGTCTTTCTTATTTGATACTCTCCATATATAGCGAGAAGTACGTTTGCAGACAAAAGAAACACATATTCTGGAGAGCATTTAAAATCTATTCTTCCGCGAGAAACGAGTATGATTGGATTATATAACAATTTCCCGGGAATTTATTGTCATTCCATTTCAAGAGGCCAATCAATTGACCTCTGCTTGAATTCCACAGCATCACACAAGTGGAAAAAAATCTCCAAAACATTCTCACTCGCAAGGGCGAGAAGAGTAAAAACTGTTGATGAGACATTGAACGGTCGATAAGAAGCCCAAATGGCTTCTAGATAAGATGCCTTAATGACAATGGAGATATGTGGGAAAAGTCATTACGTACGAGGATCAATGAGGCAGCAGATGAAGGGCTTTCTGGCCAATTGTCCGTTGCTCCCATCGCTGTGTGCCATTTTTGCGTGTCGAACAGAGACTTCACTTCCTCTCACTTCCTCACTTCCTCAATCACTTCGCAGCAGCGGTCAAAACAGACCCACCCTTTGAGCAGGTGAATTTGTCACACACACAAAAAATCCCCCTCTTTGATGAGAAGAGACTGAATTTCGCACCCTAACAAAATCCACACCTTTTTTTCCAATGCAATGCGCACTTAAACCACCTCACGACTTTGTCCGCGAAACACTGGCGTGTCAAGGAAAAAGCATCCACCGCTCGAGAATGAATTTTTCCAACCTTCGCAGATTCTGCAGGAACAGCACAACACAACAGAACCCAAATTCACATCTATCGATCGGCAATTTCCAGCAAAATAATCACATGCGCACTCCAAAATTCCCGGTGATTTTGCGCTGTGAACCCACGGGAAAATATGCTGCTTTTCTCTGTCTCCTTTGTCACTAAGGATAACAGCAACTAACACACACACACACGCCCTGCGAGCCTTCCCTAATTCGCGTGACCTTTGCGGAATTAATATGATGCGAAATTTTCCCTAAAGACACTCTGACTCCGAGAATCAGCCGCAAAATGTTGAGCGACAGAGGAGAAAAAAAAAAACATGAGACGCAATTGCAAAATGTCGAGAGAACAAAGTGTTGATTCTCTCACTCAGCAGAGAGAGAGACTCTGTTTCAAATGGGTGAAAAAGCCACGGAGGGGAAGTGAGAATCTCCGGACAGAATTGTACAAAGTGTGCATGAGTTCTAATGGTCACACAAACACAAATGCCATCCATAATTCAAAGCTACCAACAAGAGAACATGACTAATACGCGAGAGTCGCCTGGAAATCGCCACTGGAAGCGAGCCATTATCTGCCAATGCTCAGCTGAATGCACATTCACAACCTGGACGAGAGAGAGAGAAAAGAGTGTTGTGTCATCCACCATTGAGGGCAGAAATACACCATGAAATGATAGCAAATCCCGCGGTGTTTGCCTTTTATCAACATCAGCTGGGAATTGTGGCTCGAATTCACTGAGAAATCCACTGCAAATCCACTCAATGGGACACCTTATAAATCATCCAGAGAGACACATTTGTATTCTAGGAGACTTGGAAATGTGAACCACAAATCTACATTTGCATACACTCATAAGAAAGGCGGTTTTCTTTCAACCACGTCTTTCACGCATTGCTGAATAAGTTAATGTTTCAAGCAAAAAGTCAGTCATTCTGAATGTTCTTCAAGGTTTTGTGGAGCAAAGGAGGAGATAAGATTGGCTTTCAGCACATTTTAGACTTTTTCGGTTATTTTTACGTCACTCGATATGAATTGGGCAAAGAAATTCATGACTTATTAAGTTATTTACCGACTAAAGATTCGTTGCAACTTTATTTTCATAACATTTAAAATAAACTGTCAAAAATATGAATTCGTAAAACTGCGTTGCCAGATTGCAATAAATAGCATTTACGAAAATGGAACATTTATCTTCTGAGGAGGCAAGAAAAACCGGAAAATTCACGTTAAGATTAAAGAAATTGACAATAATGATGTTCTTACGTTGATTAGCACAAATTTATTGGATTTATCTTGTCATTTGAGCTCATTTCAATGCACTATATTGAGGTTATGTGTTTCCGGAGATCCATCGACCTTTTTCGAGGAAACTTATTGGCTTCCAAAAGCTTTCCGTATAAAAAAAAAAACTCTTAACTTTGCTTTGCAACGCTTTCACATTCGTATTTTAATTGTACTTTACACTAGCGCCGCTAGGCGGCCGCCATTATAAGCTGTAAAAAGCGTGAAATTGCAACGCAAATTCACAGCTTTTATGAATTGAAATACAAAATCTGTAATGTTGCAACGACTCTTGCAATCTTAATATTCTATGCTAATTTGTTGATTGCTCATAATATTTTCCCCTTGGCTAAAAGTCAAAGAACAACAATTGATTTTACTTAAATATTAAGGTAAAAATGACGAAATGACGTCTATGTTGAGAAGAATTCATCAATTATGCATCACGGAAAGTGACGAAAAAGTGATGAAATAAGTCTTTATCAAATATTTATGTAAATTTCACTTTGTCACCATTTTGCAGACTTTCTTCTTACATGAATTCTTATCATGAATTTTGCATTCTTCACATCTTTTGCCGAAATTTGCCAAAATTACAGACAAAATTGCGTGGGTTTTGCAATCAATACCAGTGAAATTTATACGCAGCATTTTCCTGCATTATTGGCAACTTCCAGTTGGCTTTTCATTCACAACACAGCATCAGAGAAATGTAGACTAATTTGATCATAACTCGCGCTTTTCCACCCTCTTCAACAGAGTGTTTTTTAACACAATTCATGGTCGGTTGACTTTCACATTTTGCCAACTAATATCTATAAATCACATGCAATTTTCTGTGTAACATCCTCAATGTTAAGTAGCTCTTTTACATGCTTCTTCAGCAGCACAAAAATATTGCCCGTTTTCGGTTGAAAAAATCTCCCGTTTTCATTTCAAAACACCAGCACAAAATCGCATAATTTCTGGCGCCATAATTGATATGCGAAGTTGTTCTGCGAGAGGAAAATTCTTATATTGTTCAGACGCATAAATTTGTAAATGATGAATGAATGTCTGAAAGTCTTAATAGATTCAGTGTGAAGAAAATTGAGGAATTGTTGCATAAAATTGACGACTTTTGACACCTACTTTTACCTCATTTCCCTTGCAAATGACTTTCTTCATCGCCCAGAACTCTCGACTGTGTGAAATTTCAGACATAAAATCAATTCATTGTAACTGAGAATCCAAATTCCGCAGGTTTTTCTTGTCGATGTTGTAAAGAAACACAATAAATAGCACACTTTTAGCAGCTATTCCGATTTTTTCTTCTCCTCTTATTTGCACTGAAATATCTTGTCTGGAATTCACAGAGTTGCAAAGAGAACAGATTTACTGAAGTTATCTTTGATTTTTAGTGCTATAAAATTAGCTCCACTTGTAAAACAGTTGCAAATGCCCATGAAGATGAAATTTCAAGCATTCGCAGTGAATCTTGCTGTGGAAAACCAACAAGAAATGAAGGGATTTTCCTCTTGTCTTCCCATCGAAAATAGCTTGTTCAATCAATCATAAACACAGAATTGTTTCACTGTTGGCATTCAAATCTAACCACAGAGAGTGAGAAGAAAAAGGCAATGGGAATTGATTGAGAGAAGATGCTGAATGAATAATTGTATGGAATTCTTGGGGGAGAGCATTTGAAACATGTGTTCCACACCATCAATTCATCGCATTGTCTCTCAAGTCGCGAGCATTCCTTGTCTCTTCAATGAATCCGAGAGTCTCTCGTCGCCACGATATATTAATTAAGAATCAAGGAGAAAAAATATGCCCCAAAATCTGTACACCACTTCTTAACACTTCTGCAATTCCTCTGCAAAATCTTGAACGCTTTAGACACTTCTGCACGTTTTTAGATCGCTTTTTAGACTCCTTCAACGGATTCACACGCTCATTCCTGACTAATTACAATCTATGCAATTTTTTGAGGTTATGAAACCTACTTTTAAAATCCTTCTCACACTAATGAGTAAATATAGAGAATCTCTGAATGTTTCTACTAGATAATAGGATAGAATTTGACACTTTACGACAAAAAATCGCGGAAATAACTTGGAAATTACATTTTTTTGAGGTTATCATTGACTTTTAAGCTTATTCTCCTTATTCTCAATCAACATAAAGTTTTTTGGATAAAAAAATGCTTTGATCTGTCTATATTTGCAGCTTTAACATAAATTTGATTAACTTGAGGGTAATTTAATCACCAGAATCGGTTCTAAATCAATCACATAACCTAAAAACGACAATAAAATTGATTTTTTTGAGCAAAAATGATTGAGAAATGCCTCAATTTGTTGAAAAAGAAGCTTTTTCAATTCCAAACACTTTCTCAAAAGCTGTACACCTCTTCCCGCCATAATATCTGCCCCTTGTCGAGAATCAAGATATTCTTCACTCTCTTGGCGGGGAGACGATGTTCAAAAAAATTGCTCCTCTCCGCCTTTTGGAGCCCACAAAACAGAGGCACGAGACGAATATCATTCTCATGGCATTGTATCAGTCACACATTAAATGTGCGATTGGATAGAGATATTGTGTAACACTTTTCTTGATAGCGCCGCGCCACTCTCTCGATCATTTTCGTCCCGTGTGTTTCACGCTCTTCTTATTCTTTCGCCCCGCTCACAAACTTTCGGTCGCGCCACCCAAATTTTTCCTGATAAAAATTCGCACATTCCGTTGACTGTCTTTCTCTCCAGTATATCCATCGGACAAGGAGGTGCAGCACAGCATTTGTGGAGTGTCGCGAGTCGAAAGTGTGCGCCAAAAAAAAGTTCCCCTGGATAAAATTGCATGACTAGAGAGAGCTTTCATGCTCTTCTGTGACACAGAAATTGTGGATTATCATTCGTGATAATCGCATGAAAATTACGTGACTTTGTGCCAATTTGCTCACTCTCTCAGTGATCTGGATTCTCAGTCTGCGCAAGATTTTCAACAAGAATTTGATGTGACGCAACCGAATTACAGTGTCAATTGTCACCAATAATTCCCAATTACAAGCTCTCGCGGGGAATTTGATATCAGGTGGAGCTTCGCCGACTGATTCACTGTCATCATCCACACAGCTGGGCGAGAAGGTGAGTCCCAGGCGTGAGTGTGACAATTCCTTATCACAATTGCGCGCGTGAGTGTGTTTGTGACGTTGCAGAAAGTCATGTGCGATAAAACACTATCGCGCGATTCAATTGACGCGATTCTTAGTGGCTGTGAAACATGACTAATTATTCCCACTAATGATCACCATTAATCTCAACAACGGTAAAATGTTCAGGTGAACTCTTCAGCGCAGAAGAACTGGCGGTGGTAATTCAATTATCATGTGTGGCCGCCAGTGTTTTCCCAAGGGGCAGATCATATGCCACAAATCTGTACACCACTTCCTGACACTTCCTCCGTCTCTGTGCAGAATCTTCAACACTTCCAGACACTTTTGATCGCATCAAGAGGCATTTTTTAGACTCATTCAACTGTTTCTCACGCTCATTTCTGACTTATCGCAAATCTAATCCTGATTTTATCGTCTAAACAGGTTTAAGCTCTTCAAAATCTTAGATTTAAGATTGTATGAACTAATCTTAACATCTCACAATCTGTCCATGAACAGTTTCTGTCTTGATTTTCTAGTTTCATCTTTGAAAATTGCTTAGAAAAACTCTTGCAAAATTGTGAGGTTATGAAAACTAGCTTTAAAATCTTCTTGGACAAATTATAAATCCTTTCAAACGTGGAAATGAGTAAACGAAGAGAATCTCACAATGTTTCTAACTGGCTAATAAAGTATTAACCGCGGAAATAAGTAAGCAAAGGGGCTAAAATGTCATTTTTGAGGTTATGTTTGACTTGTAAGCTGTTTTTACGTCCCGAAATTTAAGCAATCTGATGTTTTTCAAGCAGAAATGCTAATCCGTGCTAAGAAAAAGTGATATATTTACAGCTTAAACACAATTTTGATGAAGAATCTGTTTTAAATTAATCACATAACCTAGAAATGCGATAAAGCTGTTTATTTCTAAGCAAAATAACAGCGATAGATGCTTTTGAAGTCTAAATTTTTAAAATATTTTTCCACTTCCAATTCCTAAACACTTCCGTGAAGCTGTACACCACTTCTGACCATAATATCTGCCCCTTGTGTTTCCCAACTGTACACAAACCGCCAATCTGCTATCTAAGCTCATCCTCAACTCTGTCAACATCGTCGGCAATTCACATCAATTATTGCCGTGCAATTCAGCACTCTCGATCCATCGGAAAACTCTCCATGAATTTCAGTCGATACACAATTTTCGTCCTTCCGCAGCGACGTTTAGCTTGAAGAAATTGTTAATGTAGGTCATCGGCGGTCTTATCAATATTCCCCGTCGATCGGGACACGCGCTACTGGAGCGCAACGGTCGCACTTGACCAAAAAAGCGCAGAGAATTTCGCAGAATTGCCGGCCGTGAACATTAATTTGCTAAACACACGCGCACAAGAGAAGCTCAAGAACTCTTCGTATAGAACAATGCAGAGAGAGAAAAAAATAGCACGCAAAAATATACCTGACATCATCGGGACAATTGACAAGGTGCAAAAATACTGAGTCAACTCCATCAGCAACTGTCGGATTTCCACGATTTCCATATTGATCGCGCGCATGATTTCAATCGCAACGCGGAGAATTAGCGCGTTAGTCGATTTTTCTACTCAAGCACCAGAAGAGAAAAGAAGCGCTATTTCTGTGTTAGATAACATTTTATAACACTTCAACAAGAGCTGGAGATTAGATTTGAATCTCTTCATAAGCTTCACACCTTTCGCGATATTTTTTAGTGAGATTGATTAAATTGGACAATTTGTGTGTCTCCAAATATCATTTTATGCTTCTCCGAAGCTTAGAAGAAAAGAAAGATGCGTTCAAGAACTGACATGAAAAGAAAAGCAAAGAAATTTCCGATAAATTCAATACGCTTCAGCGAGATCGAGCCCACAAAAGGGGGCCCCAAATGGTGCTAATCAGGGGCCAAAAACCCCGTTTTTCTCGCTTATTTTGACGCTCATTGTCGATATCTCAGCCGAAACGGAAGCTCAAGTCTGCGATAAGAAGCGCAGTAAATATGCGCCCGACGATTGCTGATCGAGCTGACGCGCGCACTCAATGGAAAATTATGCGAACGGGCCGAATTGTGATCTTATCCGGAAGCATTTGCCACTCACCCAGTCCGAAGCGGCAGAACATCTCCTCGGCGGCGATCCGCTCCTCCACCTTCTTCTCCACCTTCTGCGGCGGCTTCGGGGGCTCCGCCTTGGGGCGCTCCTGCACCGCGGGCGCGGGCTTGGGCGGCGGCGGCTCGGGCTTCGGGGGCTCGGCGGCCACCTTGGGCTCCGGCGGGAGTGGCTTGGTGGGCGCCAGCGGCTCGGGCGCCTTGCGCTCCGGCTCCTTGAAGTCCTCCAGGAAGTCCTCGGACGAGACGAACTTCTCCTTCTGCGACGCGTAGGGGTTCAGGTAGTCGTCCTCGATCTGGTCCAGCAGCGGCGGCGTGGCCGCCTTCGGGGGCAGCGGCTGGAAGCGCTCGGCGTCCATGAAGCTCTTCGTGGCGTCCGCCTTGAAGTCGTCGAAGGCGAAGTCCGGCTCCTTGTGCGCGGCCTTTGGAATGTCGTTGCTGAGGAAGTCGTCCAGGAGGCTGGCCGAGGCCTCCTTGGCCTGCTTCGGGGCCGCGCCGAAGAAGCCATCGTCGTCCATGAGGTTGTGCGACGAGAACGGGTCCACATGCTCAAAGTCGTCCGTGGAGCTGGTGGCGCTCACCTGGGATTGGCCAGCCTGTCCGGCGCTCCCCTGGGCCGGGGAGTGGTCGCTCTTGGGCTCGAAGTCCGCGGAGAAGTCCATCGCAATTGGCACTTCCTCGGATAAATCACAGAACTCTCGTGCGGGCGGTCTTTTGCGGCGCTTGATGCTCTTCGGGATTCAATCACTGGGCACAATTTTCCGCTGTCTCGCCACTCTTTCGCGAGAAAATCCGTGACTCTGGGAAGTGATGGCCGCCCAAGAATAGCTGAACAGAAAGACGATGCAGGAGAAATCTCTCACTTCCAGCCAGAGAGTCTGCGGCGGCGCCTGCGCTCTCTCTCTCTCTCTCTCGCTCTCGCCCTGGAAGTTCCCTCTCCGGATGATCCCACTAATCGGCCCGATGACTCATCGGCCGACCACAGCTATTGCGTCACTCGCACTGCCGCCGAATGGCTTTGTTTACGATTTGGCGCTGCGCAAGTTCCACTGTTATTGCGAATCTCGCAACACTGATTTTCCACCTCCAGATGCCACTGGAATGCAGACGAGTAATTTTCCTACTCCTGACACTCTCTCTGTTATTCCCAAAGATGCTGCCAAATAGAAGGCTTCTTCTAGCTCTCACAGATCAGAAGTCTCCTAAGCCTACCTCCCCGTCTTGTGCTTTGAATCTGACGTTTTAGGCTCTTCGGCAGGTGGCTCGGGCCGGAACCTAACGCGAGAGTGCGACACGAGCGCTGCGGACGTCAGTGAGGCACTGGACGAAGGAAAAAATGGCTGCTCGCGGTGTCGCCGGCGGAGTTGGCGAGGCGGATTCCGGTGAAATTCTGCGTGACGGGGGCCCCAAGTGCCGCGGCCTGGCGAACGGCGTGCACGCGGACGGCGGGAGGCGGTGGCCCAGCGCCCAGATGAACGGACACGCGAAGGTGAGTGGCGGCCGGAACAAGGTCACGTTTCGTGGCTCTAATTTTGGGGCTGTGATTTCAGGGCATGACGAACGGGCAGCTGCCCCATGACTATCCCAAAAAGCCGCGCGGCGGCGACTCCACCAGCGCCAAGGAGTCCTACGAGGAGGTGCCCCTCTTCGTGGCCTGCCTCACGTACCTCGGCTTCTACCTGCTGATGGTGCTGGGCTACTTCAACCAGCTCTTCTTCACGCCCAAGGTGGCCAAGGAGCGCCACCGGGACGGCTATCCGTCGCTCTACGACAACTTCGAGCGCTTCTACTTCCGCTACGTGTACAGACGCGTGCGGGACTGCTGGAATCGGCCCATCTGCAGCGTCCCGGGCGCCGAGGTGGTCCTCAAGGATCGCGTCACCAAAGACTACGGCTGGACGTTCGAGTGAGTGCCCCTTGACCCCCTTTCGTGACTCGCCGACGCGGTGTCACTCACCTCGAGGGCTGGCCGGCATGTCTGGGCGACTCCCAGCCCATTAGGGCGGCCTGGGAAGTCGGCCAGGCCTCGAATTAACCATTAATAGGCAGCAATTTCGTGGCGAAGTGAAGAATTTTGCCGAGTCTCGAGAAATCACGCAAATGAAGCACGTGCGGATCGATTTTTCCATTAGTTTTTTATGAAGACATCGTCGCGGTGCTCTTGAAGAGCCGATAAAATCCGCAGAACGCGTCGAAAGGGGCGTTCTGCGGGGCGGAAGTGGCATTTTTGCTTTCTCTCGCGTTCCGGGAAGGCGTGAAGTGTGTGCATTTCTGGGAAAACCGTGCGTCAGAATATTAGCAAACACTCTTGTTGGAGAAGATAAGAGAATGATTCTTATACGCTTGTTCGTTTGCAGATTCACTGGAACCCAGACAAAGTGCCTGAATCTCGGCTCGTACAACTACTTGGGCTTCGCCGAGGAGACCGGCCCGTGCGCCGAGGCCGTGGAGGCGACGATCCGGGAGTACGGCTTGGCCTCGTGCAGCGCGCGGCGCGAGCTGGGCAACAGTCCGCTGCACGAGGAGCTGGAGACGCTCACGGCGGAGTTCCTGGGCGTTGAGGATGCCATTGTGTTCGGCATGGGCTTCGCCACGAACTCCCTCAATCTGCCCACGCTGCTCTCGCCGGGCTGCCTGTGCGTGAGCGACGAGAAGAACCACGCGTCCATCATTCTGGGCTTGCGACTGTCTGGCGCCAAGACGGTGGTGTTCAAGCACAACAACATGAGAGATCTGGAGCGCGTGCTGGAGCGCAATGTGGTGAATGGGCAGCCGGGCACGGGGGCGCCGTGGAAGAAGATTCTCATTGTGGTGGAGGGCATTTTCAGCATGGAGGGATCAATTGTGAAGCTGCCGGAGATCATTGCGCTGAAGAAGAAGTACAAAGCGTATTTGTACTTGGACGAGGCGCACAGCATTGGGGCGTCGGGACCGCACGGACGTGGCGTTGTGGACTACTTTGGCATCGATCCGCGCGAGGTGGACATCCTCATGGGCACGTTCACGAAGAGCTTCGGCTCGGCGGGCGGATACATTGCCGGAGAGAAGGTAATTCGGCTGGCCTTCGCGGCTGCTGTTTTCACACTGTTTCAATGGGATTTCCTGTTTGTCTTCCGCAGCGACTCATCAACTTCCTGCGCAGCCAGAGTCACGCTCACTGCTATGCCAGCTCCATGGCGCCGCCCGTGGCGCAGCAGATCCTCACGTCTATGAAGATCATCATGGGCAAGGAGGACGCGGGCGAGGGCGCGCGCAGGATAGATCAGCTGGCGCGCAACACGAGATACTTCAGACGGAGACTCGCGCAGATCGGCGTGATCACGTTCGGCCACGAGGATTCGCCAGTCGTTCCCATGCTTGTGTATTTGTTCTCCAAGCTCGGGTGAGTTTGTTTGCCAATTTGCAGATTATTATTTCCTATGTAGAATTGATAGAATCGACAATTCGTCAGCGCGAGTCTGAAGGCGATAAAATAAAACTGCTCAATGGCAAATTTCGAATGGAAAATGTGAAGAATCAGCGTGAAATTCAATGGAATTTATTCATGATAAATCAAAATTAGGGAAATGTGGGGCATTTTTGAATACTCTTTTTAATTTTGCAGTCCATTAGAAGCTAATAATTAAAACCTTCACGCAATTGAAGGTTGTTAAACTATTTAAGATCAAGTATGTTTTGATTTTCACCCTTTTTTGGTGTTTAATCCAAGGGGGAGATAATATCCCTTAAATCTGTACTGCCAAATTTGTCTGACACTTCTAGAATATGAAATTTGTAGTCTGTTTCGTAATCTCTTGAAGTTTCATTCGATATTTCTATAAGAATCAACTGAAAACCGCTGTTTTTGGTCATGTTTTCTGATCATAACCTCAAAAATATTACTAAGAAATCTTCAAAAACTCAGTTTGGAAGTATTCTAGATCACAAGAATTATCGCTATTATTGCTAAATCAGACGCTAAATTGTCGAGAAAGATTTTAAATAGGCATTTTCCAAGTCTAAATGGCTATTTTTGAGGTTATGTTTAATCTAAGCACAGTTTGCGCAGTTTCTTGGCTTCAAATGATCAAAAAAGCACTGTTAAATGCTTAATTCTGTCAAGAACTAGCAGAATTGATGTCCTAGAATGCGAATTATTTACTAAATCTGTCCTTAATTTGTTACATAACCTAGAAAAAAGATTATTACGTTTGTTTTTGCGTGAAAATCGAAGGAAATTCAGAGAATCTGAATGATTAGTGAGTAAAAGAAGTACACAGGAAAGGAATATTGAAGGTTTTTCAACACTTCCACTCCTTTTGAGTACTTCTGCTGAGCTGTACACCACTTCTGACCGTATTATCTTCCCCTTGGTTTATTCAGCAGAACACAATCAATGTTCTTTCCATTTTTAGTCATAAAATTGATTCCAAATTCTCATCTTCGTGGAAAATACAGTCAAAATCTGAATTGAAAGTCAAATTTTCTCTACTTTTGAAGTGAAATGAGAGTTGAAAATATGGTTGAATTGAAAGGCAAAGACATGGTTTACTAATTAGCGCTGAATGTGTGCGAAATTCATCATGTGACTGACCTTCTTTTTCACCTTTGTTTTCAGTGCTGTTGTCCGCACGCTGACCACGAAGAACATCGCTGTTGTTGGCGTTGGCTTTCCGGCGACGCCGCTGATGGAGGGACGCATTCGATTTTGCCTTTCTGCCGCCCACACCAAAGAGCAGTTGGACTACGCCTTGGCGCAAATTGACGAAATCAGTGATACGATGGGCTTGAAGTACTCGAGAAAGCCTCGCGATCCGAATCCCATCATTTATTAGAAAAGGGTGTGATGGACATTTTGGGTGGGTGAGAAGTGTGAGAAAGAGAGGAAGAAGAAGATGTGGTGAAATTGCTTGAGAGATTTCGTCCTTTAAACACCAAGAAAACACATGAAAACACTTTATTGTAAGAGTTAATTATGTATTTCTCTTTTTTTCTTTTGAAATGTCCAGTCAGTAAGTGAGCATTTTCCTTATAGAAATCTTGTCTGTCTGTTTAATGTTTAGTTTTTCTTTTTTCCTTTTGGGATATGAAATATTGAATGATTCTTGTTTTCTTTGACCAGTTTTTATACACAGAAAAAGTATTATGATTTTTTTTTTGAGACACAATTTGCTGGTGAAAATTCTACCCGCAAATATGAGAAGAGTAAGAAAATATGTTTAGGAAGTAAGAAAAAAAAAATGGGGCCTTCTGAAATATATTATTTTTTACTTTATGTGTGATGATTTTCACAGAAATTTTCCATTCTCTCTGTTGTGGAAAAAAGAAATGATCGGGAAGGAAAAGAGAGAGAGAGAGAAAAATGTATTTTTCGGCATTGAACATTAGATAGAGCTTTTCTCCAAACAAACAAATTCTCTTGAGAAAATCATACTTAGGATTTAGGGCTGAAAATTGTTGAGGAGATTTTTTAGGTGAGGAAAATTTATGTGTATATTTAGTGTGTAGACGAAATTGTCTCTGATTGATATAGATAATTTATGAGGAAAAGCAAAATGGAATGTAAAGCGTAATGATTTGTTTTCTTTCTGTTGCTCTCGCTATTCAAAAGTGTTCTTTAATTCTTAATTCAAATACAAATACAAAATCCTTGACCAAGTTTTGAATTTGACGAGCAGCGCAGAATTGAACCAGGTTTTTGAGCACTCTTTTGTGAGTTTAAGGGATGAGAAGGAACCCTTTTGAGAAACAGTATATAAATAATAATTCTTCATTAAAAAAACATTTTAAAACGCTTTTATCGCTACGATTCTGTGAATCGTATCAATATTATTACAAAAACAGAGCGAGAAATGTGTGCGGAGTGAATTAAAATCAAGCACAGGAAGAGAATAGTGAATGTGTAATTCAATGACAATTGTCCTTTATGAATTAATAATAATGGTTGAGAAGCGAGAAAGAGAGAATAGAGGGAAAAGCAGGTGAGATTCTCGCGCCATTTGTGTGTGGACACAATTTTCTCCCATTTTTGGATGTGATGAGCTTTTGAACAAGAAACATAAATATAACAAAAGGGAAGGAGGACATAAAAGGAGCAAAATATCATTCCTATTGTAATAAGGAAAATTTAATATTAAGATCATTAGAGAAAAGCGTAGAAGGGAAAAACAATGAAGAGGAGAGCATCATTTGCCTAAAAAGAGAGCCAAAATAGGAAAATTTGTGCTGCCAGAGAAATTTTCTATATATATATAAAAAAAAAATCATTAAAGAGAAGCTTTTCAAGTCACTCTTTTCACACCCATTTTGAATTTCTCCTTTTGTGTTTCCTTTTTTTTGGTATTAATTAAAATGTATTGTTTTTTTCTTTGATTTGTGTAGATTTTTGGGGAACAAATCAAAAGAAATTTTGAAAGTTGCACAAAAATCTGCTTCACTGAAGAAAGAAAAGAAGAAGAATGAAAAAAAAACGTCTAGTCTAAAAATTGTAACTGTTTTTTTTCTTTAAATTAGTTTTGTGTAACTTTTCATAGAATATTTTAGAGGCGATGAAATCACTTTAAAATTGTCTGTTCGATTTTTTTGTAATCTTCACATCAATTATTTAGCTGTTAAAATTTCACAATTTCTCCACAATATTAACAAATCAAAGTATAAAATTCTCCTGATTTTTTTTCTCTAATGAAACTTTCAAGCTAATCTTCTTCAAAGTTCAGCGAAAAGCTTTAATGGGGAAACACTTGTATAACAGGAGAATAAAGGAAACAAACAAAGTTTAATGCTATCAAAAGATTATATATTTAAAGAATAAGGAAATATAACAAATTTAAAAAAGAGAGAAAACAGAGGAAAATCAGAAGTAAAGTGCACTAAAATAAAAATGAGTGTTTGAAATCTAGAGAGAGCGAAGAGAATTATAAGAAATGATATGAAGATTGTATATTTTAACTCTGTAAGCATTTAATTGTTAAATTGTAACGTTTAAGGAATCAAATTCACGCGAAACACACACACAATATTTTGATGAATAAATTGCCATTTAAATAACACGCGCGCGCCTTAATAAATTCTCAACAGTCGTCGATGGAGAAAGTTTAGCGCGCGGCTGCGGATGAAAAAGAGGCACAAGTCGTCATTTTGGCAAATGGAATTTTCCGTCTGTGATTATTTAATTATCTCAGCAAGAGCGCGAAAGGGTGGCGAAGCGACGGGGGTGAAAAAGTGAGGGATTAGATAAACAAATTTTGTCAGTTTGTTCATTGAATTATATTTTCCGCGGTGCGCCTTCAATTTTCTCTTGGCATCCAATCGATTTTTCATCAGCGTGATTGTCGAGCCCTCGCGACTGTTGCGCGTTTAATAGCACAAAGCTAATGAGTGCGAGCTTTAAGCTCGTCAATTGAATTCACATTTGCACCCTTGTTTGCACCCTTGTGCGCCTGTTTCGCCTCGCCTAGAACTGGATTTAAGCGTGATGTGAACTTTCTGTCCTTTTTCGTCAATTCACGTCTGGGATTTAATTGCGTCAAGGTGGAAAACATGCGGCTAAAAGATGTACATCATGTCAAAATTTGCCTACAAAACGCCTGGCAATTGCTTAAGAACTCAAGCATTCTTTTGGAACATAACCTCAAAATATCAAAAATCTTCAGTTTATTTCGCGATTGTTCTCGCAAAAGAAGTATTTTATTTTGTTATCTCTTCAAAATCTATTTATAAAATAATTGTGCACAATTTTTAAAGAGTAAAAAACGAATTTCATAGCTGAAAAACTTGCAAACATCAAGTAATAAACAATAATACTATAATTCTTGATCTTTAATCGGATATTTACGGTTTTACGCAAGGTTTTACAGTAAAAATGAGTGTGAAATTGGAAAAACCATCTAATTTTTTGACATAAGAGAATTTTTTTAATAATGCCAACGAAATTATATAGTCAAGAATAGAGAAAAAGCGTCAAATATCCTTTTATCGGTTGATATTCTTATTAAACTTAACCTCAAATTTCATTTTCTACCCAACAAAATCTTCCAATTTCTATATTTAAACATAAATTTATATCTTTTTCTTTTCAAAATTCTCTGTCAGGTTCTTATAAACTCTATAAATGATCTCCAAACTGGTTGAAATATTTCTCTCAACACTCTGAAATCTATTTTCTGACCCTAAACTTCTTCCGACGAGACAATTGCTCACTTAAAATGTATTTTTTACTTCATTTTCCATTCTTTTCTCTAAATTTCACACAGAATTATCGACTCTGTCATTTTGGGCATATTTTCTAAGATCTTAATCTTGACACAAGATGCTGAGGCATTCAAAATCCATATTAGTCACCCTTCGTTTAAAGGCTTTCTCGGGTAAAGCTTGAAGATTTCGGTCTTTCATGATTTGCTTAAGAACTCAAAATTGCTGATTTCATATCTTGAATCGATCAAAAGATTTCCTAAATTGAAATTTTCAAACCCAAACATCATTTTTGAGGTTATGATTGAATTTAGTGCAATTTGCAGTATTTCTTCGCTTTAAACATCCTGAATTGCTATATTTTATGGAGTAAAAGTTTGATTTAACGTCGGATTCTTCCGATAATTAACAAATCATTTCGATCCAAGAAGAAAAATGTCTGTTTTTGGAGGTTAAAGCCGTCGCATAACCTAAAAAAAATGCAATGAGTTTATTTTCAATTCATTGCTCTACTTTTGCAAAATATATTTGATCACTTTGATATCCGACCGTAATATCTCCCCCTTGAATTGGGTGGCAGATTTAGAAAGATTGAATCAAGGCGAATTCATTCATAACTCGCAATTTTCATTCCCGTAAAAGCTTAGCAAAATGCACAATAAAAGCTTGGCGATATAACTTAAATGATAATCATAAGTTTTGCAATTAGAAAAGGCTTTTAAAGTTCCTCCTTGGCAAATGAGAAAATGTCTTCGCTGGAAATTCAATTTGGCATTCGCGCAATTTAGCATTTCTCATTTTCTTTCTGCACTTTTTGAAAATAAAATTTTCCCCGCCCCTCGCATTGAATTTTGAGTGAAAATTTCATGATATTTCCACTGAATACGCAAACTTGTTTTGCATTGCAAAGTCACTCAATTAACCCACATTCCAGCTGAGCTTTCAGCATTCAACAATTTATGGCCACACTTATCCTTGAGGAGTGAAATGTCTTGCGTGCTGGTGAGAAAGACAGCGCGGTTTTCCATACATAAGATTCTCTTTTTTTTTTCTAGAGCACTGCAAGAATGTTTGTTGAACTCTAAAGCGGGGCAATTTGAGTGATTTCCAGGTGAGATTCTCGGGTGAAATCGGTGAAATTGGGGTCGAAGACTGGGAGAATCTCTGAGATGATGGACAGCAAATGTGATGAGTATCATTGAGAGTCCTTCGCCGCAACTCAACTGTCCAAAGCGGATTGACTCTGGCCGAAATTGCCTCGATGATGAAGATGATACGGCAAACAGATGTGGCTGAATTCTGGGACTTGACAAAGTGCCACAATCTCAGCATATTCTCCGGCTGAGACTGACCTTCCTTGCAGACACTCGAGTGGCCGGCAAGAGACGCTCCGGCAGGACAAGAGCTCGACGGCGAGAGGGTGAACATAAGACAGGATTAGGACTCTTCTGAGTGGCAGAAGAGGCCGAGAATGAAATGGGTTTCCCTGACAATTCCTCAATAACTCATCCAATAAATTGAATATGTATAAATGTGTTTAAAATCATTGTCATTTATCTAAATGCTTAACAAATGCTGAACAGAATAAAGTCTGTAATGTGCAGTAAATGAGCTGTATTTGTGTCATTTCTCAAGTTTATTTTCACTAATTTGACTTTAATTCAATGAAAAAGTTAAATGTATCTTCAAAGGATGTTCCAGAAAGAAGCACAGGTTCGGAAAACAAACGAAAAGGAGTAATTTTCAATTGAATTCATTCCTAATAAAGTCATGATGTTTAAAAGAATTCTGACCAAGAGCTTTTTCTTTCGAGGTGCAGATAATTCGCTCTTAATCTGTACAACACTTCCGAACACTTTCAACAGTTTTTAGACTGTTTTCACAGATATTTCTGTAAAAATCCACCTTAAATTGCTTTTTACAGCGTCTTTGGCAACCATAACCTCAAAAATATCACTAAAAGATCTTAAAAGACTTCAATTTGAAGCTTTCTGGATGATAAAATCGTCAATAACTTCTAAATTGCTAATTTAGAGTCAAAATCGCGAAGAAAGTGAGCTAAATAAACACTTTCCAAGTCTACAATTCTTTTTTTAAGGTTATGTTCGACTTTAATACAATTTGCAGTGTTTTTTAGCAATGTTTATCGCATAAAAATGTCTGATTCTACGAATGGAGAGCAATCTTGGGGAATTTAGCATAAGATTTGATGTGCTAGAATGCAAAATATTTATTAAATCCGTCCGTGATTTGTTACATAACCTAGAAAATATTTGTTTCTTCGTACAATTCAAGAGAAATCGAAAGAATCGGGATAATTTGATAGTAAAAGAATCACTCAAGAAAGTAATATAGCAAGTTTATTGCAATACTTCCATTTCTTAAGTACTTCTGCTGAGTTGTACACCCATTCTGACTGTATTATCCCCCCCTTGGTTTCAGTATCTGTCCCAAAAATCAGAGAATCTCTCACAAATTCTTCTATGATTGGTGATTTTCTTGTTATTACATCTTGAGAAACAGTGTTTTGCTCTCATTAATCCATTCTTCTGTTTAGTTTCTTGATGTGATAATTCTTGAGATGTCTTATAGACCAACTATAGAAGATCAACACGTGAGAAACACAGTCAAAAGGCAACTTCAAGCGGAAAAGAAGCGGCGTCGTCGAGGACTCTCTGTTGTGGGCGGCGGGAAATCGTCCTGCCACTCGGCTTCTCCCTCCGTGGCCGCGCCACCGGCGCTGGGAGGCTGACAAGTGCTAAATGGCGTGCTCATGCGCAGCCGTGTCACTCCGGCACACCGTGCACGGTTGCCTCAGTTGCCTCCGAGTCACGCTGCCGTGCGCCTCGTCGGCCGGAAGCTCTGCCCATCCGCCGCGTGTTCCTGTGCGTGCCTCGCCTGTGGATGACGCGCGAATTATCGTCCCTGCCCGAGAATTGATGATTTGTGCTGCTGTGTCTCTCGCAAGTGTTGCCCCCCGAAGAGATATCCTCTCCGCCGGCGCCCAGTGACTGGGGCTGCTGCTCCTCCGAAGGACCCCGAGTGCTGGTGATTGTGCGGAAAAAGGGAAAAATCACCCAACGAGCGGGAGAATCCCTGGTGAAGTGTGTCCCAATCACATTTTTTGACACTTTCTTCGCCTCCCTCAGAAGAAAACCCACCCCCGCAAATCATTCAGACCCCCCGATTAGAATATATTAACAACTCCCTGGGATCCAAGAGAGAGAGAGAGAAAAAACATTTCCTCAGAAGAGGATCCAAAGACAGAATTTCCTCCCGTCGTGTGAGTTTTTCCGTGCTGTGTCGTGCCAAAAATGGTGAATCTCTAGTCAAGCTATCAATGAAAAATGTCTCCGATGTCCTGAAGCCTCCCTTCATCCTGGCAGATGTGATTGGCATGTTCCAAACGTATTCTTCCTCATATGATGAATTGATTTCCCATCCCAAGGCTTGCCACAGAGAGTGAGAATTTGCAAAACAGTGCGCCAAAGAACTGGCTTAAAGAGTGAAAGGACTTTTCCGATATCCCGTGAGATTTTCTTCCCTTCAGCATCTCTCATCTCTCTTTGTTGGATATTCGGGGTGATTTTGGGAGAAAAAGGTAAGCGCTTTTCTGGACCTCGCAAATCGCACCTTTGAAGTCAGTTTGTTGTTGGGAAAATTTGCGGAATAATCTGGTGGATTTGTGTAGAATTGACCAGACTTTCAATTTCCTCTTGTACTCTTGTGAATATAATTCGATAAGAGAGCTTATAATTTATTTGATTATTGATAATAAATCAGTGCTTTCAATGCACAATATCGACTTAACTTGAATTATTGTCAGTGTTTTCAGATTCATTTAGACGAAATCACAAAATTTATCCTTTGTTCTATTCTCTGAAAATGACAAGAAATTTGATTATACAGAAGTCTTTTAGTGACTTTCTCGGGAAATTGTATGCTTTTCCCAATGAATTATTTATGGGTTTTTCGTAAGAACGCTACAAAGTTGAATCACTCGACGAGAGATACATTTTTATAAATTGAAATACTAAAAATGACACGACAAAAATGTATTTCAAACTACATTTTATAATTGGTGGTAAAAATTTGATTGTACAATTTGCATTTTGAATATATTTTTTTTGTGTGTTAAACTCTAAATAACATTTCATTTTGACAAACTTTGAAAAGCCTTTTTTTGTGTGTGTGTCAAAAGTGAGTTTATTTTTGTACAAAATAAAATTATAAATTTCCCAGTGAAATAAAATTCAGTGTGCTCTTTTTGTGATTAAATTAAATTTGCACAAGCTCACAATTTATTTATTAGCACAATTTTATCTGCCATTTTGCCAAATGAAATGATTTGTATTTTTAGCGAGATCAAGTGAGTTAATTGAGTTGGTAAAATTTTTTATAAAAATATCCAGAGGCCAGAAAGTGAACTGCAAATGATAAATTATTAATGGAAATGTTGCAAAATCGCAAACGATTGAGTGAATCTAGGGGGAGGAATAATATGGTTGGAAGTGGTGTACACTTATTCGGAAGTGTTTAATTTCACAAATTTGAGAAATTCATCTCATTTTTCATGGTTTTCAGTCTCATAGAAAATAATAAACACGCGAAAATATTATTGTTTTTTTACCTCTAAATAGCTTAAATGCTATTAATCACGAGAATCTTTCATTTCTCTGGACACAATTTGTCATGAAAAACGCTCGAAGAGATGCTTTTCACGATTTCGGAAAGACAATTGACTTTCTTCAATTTTTGATTTTGATTCTGGCTTTCTAATTTGACAAAATATTGCATAGAAATTTGTATTGTAAAGGCAAAATTTCCAATATTTCATTTGAACAGCCTTTCCGAACACAATCTCTACTACAGTCTCATCGATTTCGATAGAAAAAATAGGCATTTTGCAAGCTTCTTAATACTCAAAAATAAATTTTCCTTCTCGTAATCTACAAAAGAATGTTGTGTGTGTAAGTTTTTTCAGATTCTTCCTCATAACTAAAGCAAAATAAGTGGTTTACGCATTGTAGACAAATTCTCCGCCCCTTGGAATGAATCTGCGCGCGAAAAAGGGGTTTTGCTGCAAAAGTTAGAGGCTTTTCCTTCTCTCTCCCTCACACTTTTCTGTGTGGTATTATTTTATTAGTCAGCAGAATTAGCATAATTTATTGTATGTAATGTTACAACTAATGCGGTCAAATGGGTGGAAAAGAACAGGTTGGCGGTGGCTTTGGGGGTTGGGAAACATCAATAGAAGTCGTTTATTTTTAATAGCTCGTTTATCACACACATAGAGAGCAAATATTGGGCGCGGAACGGGGAAAGGGGAGAGCCAAAAAGCCACCACGCAAAAAGGCACAGGGAAAAAATGATGAAGTAGCACCAAAAGCAAAGTATAAAAGAGTAATAAGAACACAACTCACCCCAAGAGTCAATTTCGCTTCTTTTCCTCGACGCCTTTTCGCGTTTTTTTCTTTCTTTCTTTCTTTCGTTTTTTTTTCCTTCCCCTGCCTTTGAATGCCGAGGTTGTTTCTCTCTGTGTTCTGGGGGAGAATTGCGAGTGAGAAGAAACAGTGGGAAAAGCTCTTTATTATCATTTATGCTAAAGGAGAAAATTTTAACTCTCACGTAGGGAAAATGTTTATGAAAGTTTTCGTGGGATTTTTTTCTGCCACGTTGTGTTTATTTGACAAAAATCCCCGGAAATTCGTGCGGAAAATGTGAGAGAAAGAGTAAAAAGCGTCTGATCCGACACACTCTGTAAATTGTAATTAATTGAGGTGGAAAGTTTGACCCGTTGCATGATAGAGAATGTCTTTTTCCACCCCGAACTTCTGCAAATTCATTGCCGCATAGTGAGCAATAAAAGTAATTTATTTGCCAAAGATGTGTCTGGTTATCTGGTCATTTTCTTTGATTGATGACAATGACAGCGATAATGAGTTTGGCGTGAGGAGATTTTCTCCCACACACACTCGATTTTATTGATTTGCCACCGCCCTGGAAAAGCAACCCAGAGAGAAATATTCAATTTCTCTTTGATTGATTATGGCTTTGGGTTGTTGGGGACAAATTAATTACTATACTTTTAAGATCTAATTTTGGGAAATTGTATCTCTGTCAAGTTACTTACTTCTTCTCACTCAGACTGATATTTATTTTATTTAATTATTGGAAGAGTGTGAACTGAAACGTGTAAGAAACTGTTGAGAAACACAAGATTTCCATTCATTCTTCATGTGGAATATCAAATAGTTTAGACACAAAACTTTCAATGCTGGGAATAGAATCAATTAGATTTCTTTTTTCTTAGATTATTGCTCTATAAAAAGCTTTATAAATTGACGAGTTAATCGAAAACTGTCGAAAATTAAATTTCCTAATTTACGCCGTTCACTTTCTTCCTAAGAAAACTATCTTGATTTGCAGAATTGCGTAAAAACGCTTCTAACGTTATTTTTCGAGTTCTTACAACTTTTTTGGATAAAATGTACTCAAAATCTATTTGAAATCGACTTTTGGACACTATTTTCTGCTTATATTAATAACTTTGACACATTTCAATCAAAATTCCAATAAATGCCAATAAAATCAACTGAAACATTCCACAAATAATTGCTAAAGGGCAATAATTAACATTTTATCAAACGTTTAACAGGTTGAGTTGAAATTTAGCAAATTTCGCAGCACAATTAATGCTAAATTTTCAAGTCTCTCCCCTGAAAAAAAAATGCAATTTTAACTTTTCATTGTTCTCTATTCACCCGTCGAAATACACATATATGTTGTTCTGAAAGCTTAATAATCTTTAAACATTCAGTTAGACAAAGAGAGCCTTTATCTCTTCAGCTAAATTAACAAAGCTCCTTTTCACCAATTAAATCGTCACGGCAGACGACATTATTTTCAATTAATTGAGAATTTTAATGAATGCAACAATCCTCACAGTGGAAATTGTATAAATAAACAAATAGTTGTGCATTTGAGAGCTTTTACCCGGCGTCTCCATCTCTCATCTATTCCAAAGCCCTCTGGCGTGTCTCTCAGTGTATATAATTAGTTCTGCAGCTCTGGAGGGGGGAAGGGAGGTGGATGAAAAGGGTGGAAAAGTGCAGTCATTTGGAAGGAAAATATTTGCAACTTTGTGTGCATTTCCATCCCCCAAGCATCGATTGCTTCGCGAATGCTTGAGGTCTTATTGAATATTTTTCAGGAGTGTGTTTTCTCTGAAAGTTTTTACACTGGACGAAATGGAATTCTGTGTCCACAGGAAAGTGGGCGGTGGGCGGATTCGGAGTGCAAGTGAAGGATGAAAGTTCATGTGTGTGTGCTTCTTGTGTGACTCAATTTTGGCAATCTTGTGGTATTGTTTGAGCAGCATGTTTCCCCCGAAAACGAAAATACCCCGAGAACTCTGCACAAATGCCAGAAGAACTTTATTAAATATTAATAAGCTCTCTCTCTCTCTCTCCCTTTTCTCTTGGCATGGCTTTTAATTTATGACTGTGTTTGGCGCTTTCTTCTAACAAACTTAACATATTGAATTGATGTTGAGGGATGAGAGTGAAATGTGGTGGGATTTAATCAATTGCAAATGCGAGAAAATTGATCCTGTCCATGGACTTTTTATGCATTTCTCTTAAAAGGTTCTCGACATCGCGAATTAGTCTCTCAATCTCCACACTTTCTGGGGGGGGAGGGGAAATGGCAATGAAATGACTGTTGAGAATTCGCCCCCCGACCAGAGGCGGTAAATAAGATTGCACCCCTAAGCCACCCCAAACGTGTATGACAAGCGCACGAATGCCGATGATGCCACATTTGCTGGCTGAAAGCTCGGAGTGGCTGTGATTTCTTCTTCGCCATGAAGTGTGCGGGGGATGGCAAAAAAGCCATGGCAAGAAGGTTGGATCTCGAGCTATCGCTCATCAGTGGCGGAATGGGGCGAGAGTGTAACTCAATTTGATGATTTCAGCACAATTTCGAGTGGAACTTTGTGCTGTTTTCCCCCCCAAAATTCTCCATCCAACGGTGAAAATTCTCTCCCTGTATTTGTTCGCTTAAATTGTAAATTAATTTGGGAATGCTACTTTTAGCTTCAGCCATCCAGGGGAGCAAACTTGGTCGCTTTCACAGAAGAGCGAAGCTCAATTTCCCGTGGCATCGCGCGCACACGTAATTGAAATGTTTCTTTTGCCGCACGATCATTGTGGCCGATTTTTTGGGCAGGGTTTCCATAGCTCAAAGAGGGGCTTAAATCTAATTGTGAGTCGCGGGACTTCACTTCACAAATCCTTCCCTCTCGCATTCAACAATCTCCTCTTCCGCCAGGAGCAAGAAGTGGTGGAAATGCGGTGAAAAGAGTCGTCGCATTGAAAGAAAATGCCACATGTATTTGTTATCATCAATTTTCCGACTCTCCACACCAGCTAATGAGTGTGACAAATGGCCACAAATTCGCGTGAGATTTCCCACTTTTTCCCAGGCGGTGTGCGAATTCAATTTGTGCAGAAAGCTTTTGCAGTGACGAAAGAATAAATCTCTCTCGTCTTGTGCAGCGCGCGCACAAAGAGGAGACAATCCTTTGAGCCATTTTTCACG